GGTATGACTACGAGTGAGTTTGACTACGAGTGAATCTGAGGGTGGGTAGGTCTGAGTGTGAGTGATTATGAGCGTGAGTAGATCTGAATGTGAGTGCGCCTGAGTATGAGTATGATGGATACGAAGCTGGCCCTGAGTGGGTCTGAGCACGAGCGAGCCTGACCACGAACGAGGTCCGAGGGTGGGCGGGCCTGAGCGTGAGCGAGTCTGAGTGTGCGCGAGTCTGGGTGTGAGCGAGTCCGAGTATGAGTATGAGGAGTGCGCGTCTGAGCATGAGTGAGCCTGAGCACGAGCGAAGCTGATCCTAAGCGAGTCTGGGACAGCCTGGCAATCTGGGCCCTCTGGGGGTGCGTAAATCAGCGCCTCTCCACAGACAAACTCAGCGTCTGCGTTGGCAGCAGACGAGTCCGACCTCCTCCCCCTCCTCCTCCTCCTCCTCTTCCTCCTCCTCCTCCTCCTACTCCTCCTCCTCCTCCTCCTCCTCCTTCTCCTCCTCTTCCTCGAAATCTGCCCCCCCTGGGGTGCGACAACCAGCGCCTCGCCTGAGACATCCTCAGGATCTGCTCCGAAAGCGGAGGATGTTGAGGACCAAACCAGGCAAACCGCCTGAGACATCCCCACCATTTGGGCGCGAACGGGGGCCGTGCAATACCCCTGGCGGCCCCCCTTTAGGAGTGCTAAAGCCAGCACGCCGCTTGAAACATCCTCAGGATCTGCTCCGAAAGCGGATGATGTTGAGGACCAAAGCAGGCAAACCGCTTGAGACATCTCCACCATTTGGGCGCGAACGGAGGCCACCGTGCAATACCCCTGGCGGCCCCCCTTTAGGAGTGCTAAAGCCAGCAAGCCGCCTGAAACATCCTCAGGATCTGCTCCGAAAGCGGAGGATGTTGAGGACCAAAACAGGCAAACCGCTTGAGACATCCCCACCAAGTGGGCGAGAACGGAGGCCGTGCAATACCCCTGGCGGCCCCCTTTTAGGAGTGCTAAAGCCAGCAAGCCGCCTGAAACATCCTCAGGATATGTTCCGAAAGCGGATGATGTTGAGGACCAAAACAGGCAAACCGCCTGAGACATCCCCACCATTTGGGCGCGAACGGGGGCCGTGCAATACCCTTGGCGCACCCCCCTTTAGGAGTGCTAAAGCCAGCAAGCCGCCTGACACATCCTCAGGATCTGCTCCGAAAGCGGATGACGTTGAGGACCAAAACAGGCAAACCGCCCGAGACATCCCCACCATTTGGGCGCGAACGGAGGCCGTGCAATACGCCTGGCGGCCCCCCTGTAGGAGTACTACAGCCAGCAAGCCGCCTGAAACATCCTCAGGATCTGCTCCGAAAGCGGAGGATGTTGAGGACCAAACCAGGCAAACCGCCTGAGACATCCCCACCATTTGGGCGCGAACGGGGGCCGTGCAATACCCCTGGCGGCCCCCTCCTTTAGGAGCGCTGAAGCCAGCAAACCGCCTGCAACATCCTCAGGATCTGCTCCGAAAGCGGATGATGTTGAGGACCAAAACAGGCAAACCGCTTGAGACATCCCCACCAGTTGGGCGCGAACGGAGGCCGTGCAATACCCCTGGCGGCCCCCTTTTAGGAGTGCGAAAGCCAGCAAGCCGCCTGAAACATCCTCAGGATCTGCCTCCAAAGCGGAGGATGTTGAGGACCAAAACAGGCAAACCGTTTGAGGCAACCCCACCATTTGGGCGCGAACGGGGGCCGTGCAATACCCCTGGCGGCCCCCTTCTAGGAGTGCTAAATAAAGCCAGCAAGCCGCCTGAAACATCCTCAGGATCTGCTCCGAAAGCGAATGATGTTGAGGATCGAAACAGGCAAACCGCTTGAGACATCTCCACCATTTGGGCGCGAACGGAGGCCGTGCAATACCCATGGCGGCCCCCCTTTAGGAGTGCTATAAAGCCAGCAAGCCGCCTGAAGCGTCCTCAGGATCTGCTCCGAAAGCGGAGGATGTTGAGGACCAAACCAGGCAAACCGCCTGAGACATCCCCACCATTTGGGCGCGAACGGGGGCCGTGCAATACCCCTGGCGGCCCTCCCTTAGGAGTGCTAAAGCCAGCAAGCCGCCTGAAACATCCTCAGAATCTGCAGGCACGGTGGCGTCGTACTGCTCAAGGCTGCCCCGTAGCCACAGCAGAAGGCCATGTCATAGCCGCCCCACGCCTGCTTCACATCTAGCTTGTTCGCCGGTTCCTCGGTTCCTCGAGGGGACCCCGTTGCTGCACAGCGCCTGCCGCTGCGTTGCCGCGCACATGTCCCGTTGCGCGGCACGCTGCGACACAGTAGCATTAAGTCGGGCCTGTCCCCCTACAGGGGGATTTTCGACGAAAAACAAAAGATACCCCCAAAATAATCAAAAAATAGTCCAAACATAGTCCAGGGACTATTTAAAACAAAAAATGGCGTATTTTTGAGCATGTTTGAAATATTTTATTTTCCCATCGAAAATCCCCCTGTAGGGGGACATGCCCGACATAATAGCAGCATTGAAGCGCCGCGCGATGGTGACGTTGCACGCCTGTTGCCGTGCCTCTCCGTGGAGGGCTTGGAGCTATCGTTTTGGCCTTCGGTGTTGGTGTGCTGTTGCGGATGACGGGAAGCGCCTCCGGCGAGCACCGCTGGTTCGGAGGGTACCATTTTTTGTCCCAAATTAGGGGATGCGGGGTGCACCGTGCAGTTCGCTGGCGGACTCCGGGCCAGTTGCAGTGTCGTTCGAGACAGTAATTACCAACCTCGAACTTATCCCTATCCCTAAGATTGACACGCCAAATAGCGATGACACTCTCAGGGATGCGGGGGGTATGTTCCAGGCTGGTAAAGTAAGATCGGCTCCGGAGAGGACTCCAAAGCAGCAGTATCGTGGAATCGCTCCCGGAAGGCTTCCAAACGACCCAGGAGAGCTCTTGGAGGGCCCCCACGGGACCCGATAAGCGCCTCGATGGGCACCAAGAGGCACCCAAGACCGCCCGAAGAAGCCTCAGGACTGCCCAAGAGGGCCCCAAGACGGCCCAAGACAACCCAAGATGGTGCCAAAGATGGCCCTGAGAACCCACACAGAACCCTACGACGCCCTTCTTTTGTTCATTGTTACGGGAGGTTGGGGGGTGAGGCCGAAGTGGAACGGAGAGCCCCCTACAGGGAAAACCGGTTTCGGGTTCGGGTTCGTGTCGTGCGTGCGGGCGAGGCGAAGCTGCGTGGGCGGGCAACAGGAATGACCCCGCTGCTGCTAGGGCGGGGCCAGACAGTCGTCCGAACCTCCCCCCAGTGGACGGGCGGTGGCCGGGTTGTCCCGCCGTGGTGTCCCGTCGGTGTTCTGTTGGTGTCCCGTCGGTATCCGTTCGTTGTCCCGTCGCTGTCCCGTCGCTGTCCCGTCGCTGTCCCGTGGCTGTCCCGTCGTTGTCCCGTGGCTGTCCCGTGGCTGTCCCGTCGCTGCCCCGTCGCTGTCCCGTAGTGAGATCGAAAGTGAGATCGATGGTGAGACCGATCGTGAGATTGATAGTGAGATCGATAGTGAGGTCGGTAGTGACATCGAAAGTGAGATCGATAATGAGATTGATTGCGATATCGATAGTGAGATCGATGGAAAGAAAGATAGTAGCATCGATTGTGATGTTGATAGTGAGCGCGATCGAGTGAGACGTTTGCCCCCCCCCACACACACCGAATCTCCACATCACCCGAAGGGTGGCCGTATTGGTTTATCGATGTACGGATCTGAAAATTTTCGTTCGGAGCGAATGAAGACGTTCCCGACCAAGCGTGATACGTATCTGAAGGGTTCTCGGGTTGCAATCCAACTGGACGAACGGATGATATCATGCTTTGTTTGGATTGTGAAGAATTGTTGACACGAGTATGCGGCCCTCCGCAGTTATTAGATTTGGTATGGCTTTATCGAAACTGCATGGCACCAGCTGGCCGACTGAGTGTGTCACATGGCGCCTCTGGGGAAAGGCAGCGTCCGAAGGTTCTCGGCCGTGGATTTGCACCAGGGCCCTTCCCCTCCATAAGCCGGTGTTCTGCATCTTTGTATGTGGTGGCCGTTCTGCCAAAATCCGGTGTGTGTGTGTGTGTTGGCGTGACCGTATTGGCGTTGTGTGTGGATGTGCGCTCGTGTGTGCGCGCACATGTTCGTGGGTGTAACGGTTTTCACGAATCCTTTGCTTGAATACGTGCGTGCGTCATTGTATGTTCATGAACTTCCGCCAGCGCCCGTACATGCCTGCGTGTGGGACGCGTGTGCGTCGGCGCGCTCCTGTGTGTGTGTGTGCGTGCGCTTGCTTCTGGTCATGCGTGTGTGTGTGTGTGTGTGTGTGTGTGTGTCTGTGTGTGTGTGTACGTTCACGCATGCGTTTTCATGCGGACGGGAAGGCGGTGTGATCACTGACTCCACGCAGGTGTCTATGGATTTGTAAGTATGCTGGGGCAGGTAAGCCTTCGTTCATTTCTTCTCCTTCTGCCTCTGGCTTCGCTCGCTACGTGCCCTTCACACACTCCTCCGCCCTCCTGCTTCTTCTCCGCCTCGCTCTCCTCCGTCTCTCCATTGTCGACATCCTCCCATCCTCCTGGACCTCCTCATTCTCTCTTCTCCGGTCGTTGGGGAGGGGCTCCGTGTTCCTTAATTGTTTCACAGTCTGTCTTCGCTGGGAAATCGAAGTTGATTGAACTTATGGAAGAAAGGGGCCTCGTTCCTTATTCAGGGTTCCTTAGGTTCGGATGCAACTCCTGGGAGGTCAAATTCAGTCTTCGCCCTGGTCCGAAATCCGGCTTAATCCAGCTTCATCCCGCTTACGGTAGGTTTGCGTCGTGTCGACCAGCGGCGACCCCAGCGCGGGCGTTCAAGGTTGAACGCCGCCGGCGACCCAGAATCGATCGATGTTGAACGATCGGACGTTGCGGTGAGGGCCGATCGTTCAAGGTTGAACGATCCAGCGCGGTGTCAAAAACCAACGCTGGGGTCGGCACGACACGAACCTGCCGTAGTTGCCTCCGACCCCGCGGCCGGCAGGCCCCCTCCTGGCCATGGACAGCTCCGGCGAGTACCAGGAGACCCCGCGGGAGGAGCGGAGCCGTGGCAGATCTTCGGTGTGGCAGCAGTCAGGAGGGAACAAAGACACACACAGAGACACAATGAATCGTCGATTCCCCAGGAAAGATGGGAAAATATGGGAAGTGGGGGGGGGGAGACGAAGACCCAGAAAGGATGTGAACATATGGGGTATAGTTTCATTTGTGTGTATCTATTTGTGTGTGTCCCAGGGCCCCTTCAAGCAGACCGGCCGGCGGCGAGCGAGGGGGGGGAAGTGAGAAGGAGAGGGCCTTCTCAGCAGGCGGCGGGGCCTCTCGGAGGCCCTCGCGCCTTCTGATAAGTCTGCGCTGTCCTCGGGGAGGGCTCGGGGCACCTCGCAGAAGGCTTGGGGACTTCCGAGGCTTCTGAGAAGGCCCGCCCCTTTCCCGCTTCCCCCCTCGCTTTCTTTATGATGTTCCAACCTACTTTCTGGCCTTGATCACCAGAAAGCACCTACCCGGTGAAACCAGGTTTCCGAGCACCAGAAAGCACCGAAACTCTAGGGAGACACCCGCGTCGGACACGGAATCGACACTGTGACGACATTCTTCCGACACGTTTCCAGGTGCTCGAGATTGTCTTTGGGATGTGGTCCTTAAGTACGATGGGAGCAACATTATTCGATGCTCGTTTTGGGGACCTTCCTGGGGGCCACCTAATGGATCTGTTCGACTCAGGTTCGACTCAAGTTCGACTCAGGTTCGACTCAGGTTCGACTCAGATTCGACTCAGGTTCGACTCATGTTCGACTCAGGTTCGACTCAGGTTCGACGCAGCTTCGACGCACGAGTGGAACGAGTGGCTCCAGGAAGGTCCCCAGAATGAGCATCGAAACATTACCCTCGCTCGCCGCCGAGCAGAGGCATCCGCAGCTGTCGGTGCAGTGGCGCCCCAGCGGCATTTTCTCGCGGGAAGGGTGAGGCGCTCTGCGGGAGCGGGTGTGCGAGGGCGCTCGCGCGCGAGAGCGCTGCAGTGCGGTCGGGCCTGCTTCTCCACAGGAGGAATAGTGAAGAATAGTCAAAAAGTAGTCTGGGGACGATGTTTTGATTATGTTTTGGCTATGTTTCTCTACAGGAGGAATATTCAATGTTTTGACGATGTTTTGAATATGTTTCTCTACAGGAGGAATATTCAAGAATAGTAAAAAATAGTCTGGGGACGATGTTTTGACTAGTTTTGTTTTTTTGTTTTGTAATTTTTGGGGGTCTGTTGTTTATATGTTTCGCCCAAAATACTTCTGTAGGGGGACATGCCCGACCGAGCGCTACAGTCGACACGCATAGTGAGGATGGGCAACCGTCCCAGGGGTGCCCTTACGTGCGTGAACACGGACATGTTTGATCATGCGAGGGTCTGGGTGTGAGTACAGCAGAAGTTCGTGCCAATACACACCCTGTTTGCCTCGAGGATGCCTTGGGTTTCTTGGTTTCGATGGCTTTGCTATAGAGAGCGTTACGCTCACACACCAAACATCGATGGACGTCCTGGGGTCTCAGGGCTGGGCTTCTTGTGGAAGGCTTCTTGTGGTCGAGCTCTCGACCCGCATAGTAACGTTGAGCGACTTTTCCAAGGGTGCCCTGGCATCCTTGCCTCCTCGGCCCTTCTTTTGCCACTTTTGTTGGCCGCGCCCCGCTCGAACAGCTTCGGAAGTGGGCGTCCAAGGCACTTGCATCCTTATCGCGCATCCTTATGATACGGGCCTTCTGTAGCTCGGATCAGAAGCCGGGCGAAGGCTGGCAAACCCGTGGCTGCTAAAACGGAGCTCCGGGAAATGTTCTTTTTTCTCTCCAGGAAGCAGCCCGTTGACTATTGAGTTCTCTGAGCTCGATTCCGGGAATCTCTTTGTTTTCCTGTCAGGAAGACTGCTTTAGCAGCCACCGATTTGCCCGCCCTCGCCCAACTTCCAATCGGAGTTGGTCGCCGGACTCACCGGATGGAGCGGATAGGGGGCCACACGCGAACCCTACCCCTACCCCCGACGCTTTTTGAGGGGGAGGGTGGGGTTCACTTCGTTCGGGACCTCCCGAGCGAAGTGAACCCCACCCTGCCCCCCAGAAATCGTGGGGGGTAGTGGTAGGGTGCTCAGGAGGGGAGGAAACACACAGACACAATTCATCGTCGACTCTCTGGAAAATAGAGGGAAAAGATGGGAAGTGGGGAGGGAGACAAAAAACCCGAAAGTATGGTAAACTATGGGGAATCCTGTGATTTGTGTGTATACCAGATTTTCGTAATAAAGGGAGGGGGGTCTCATTTCGGGGGGGATCTCGTCCAGGCTATCTTGGAGGGCCTGGGGGGGTCTGGGGACGATGTTTGGGAGGGTTCTCCCACGGGGGAGGTCTGAAATGGCTCGCCCCTGTCTTTTCTTACGAAATCTGGAGTATTTATTTGTGTGTCCCAGGGCCCCTTCCGAAGCGGATGCCGGCGCGGTGGGCTCGTGCCCTGCCGGAGCGTTGCGGCGGCCCCAGCGCGGGCGTGCCAGGCGGAGCGCTTGCCAGCGGCCGAGGAGCGGCCGACGTCGAGCAGTCCGCGCGGTGCGGAAGCCGCGGGCACACGAGGTCGAAGGGCGCGGCGGCAGGCGTCCTGCGGAGGGCCTCCTCCGGCTCGTTCTCCTCATGATCCTCCTCCTCCTCCTCCTCCTCCTCCTCCTCCTCCTCCTAACCCTCCTCCCCCTCCTCCTGCTCCTTCTCCTCCTCCTCCTCCTCCTCCTCCTCCTCCTTGCGGGCAATACTTATATCCATATCCAGAGCGTCTTGGACTGTTTAGGAAGAGGTGCCGCAACGCCGAGGCGCACTGGATATGATATGGCTAAAATCAAGCCTCTCGGGGCCAGATTTTTATCCATATCCAGTGCGTCTACGGTTTCTGGGGAAGAGAGCCCAAGACTCCAAGACGCACTGGATGTGGATATAACTATTGCCCGCAACAAGGTCGAAGGATCCACGCGGTGTCAGAAGCCAACGTCGAGGTCGTCACGACACAAGTCTGCCGTGGGCGATGTTGCCGCGATGACCCCCCCACATTGCAGCGCCGGTTTGGAGTGCGCTGCTGGAGTCAGTGGGGCCGAAGGGATTCACGTGATAGAACGGGAGCAGTGCCAGGATGCGTGCCTCTCGGGCCATCGTGCCGGCGTCTTGGGCTCGGTTGGGGGCACCTTGCGGGCATCGTGGGTCCGTTATGGGGTTCATGGGAGTACCCACGGGCGGTGACGCATCCTGGCATGTGTTCGAGATCTGGAAGCAAGAACGCCAGCTTCGAACTCGTCGCCGGATTCACCCGATCACTCACTAGACGAAGCGGGCGGGCAAGATGTCGCAAAGCGCGTTTTGGCAGCTCGTTTCCACACGTGGGTGTGGCAGCGTGAGGACGACGCGAGTTTACGAAGACAACCCCCCCAGACAACAGCCTGCGTGGGGGGCAACACCAGCAACAACACGTAGTTCTCCCAAGGTGTAGAGGGGGCCGCAGGTGGAAACGTGTGCTGGCGACGCCCCTGCCCATCCTCAATCTGAGTTCCACCAGTGCAGGCGATTGTTCAGGAGGGAAAAAACACACAGACACAATTAATCCTCGATTCCCAGGAAAATATGGGAAAATATGGGAAGTGGGGGGGAAGACAGAAACCCAGAAAAGATGGGAAAATAGGGGACTATTTTTATTTGTGTGTATTTATTTGTGTGTTCGCCATCGTTTTTTGACGACCGCGACTCGGATTTTGACGAGGAGGAGTTTCGTGGGATGTCTGCAGCGGGAGGCCTCGTCAAAATGCAGGCTCGGCCTCGTCATGTTTTTGACGACCTCGTCGGGGATTTCCGAGTCCCCCGTACCCGGGTCTTACGTCTCCCCGAATCCTCAATCTGAGTTCCACCGGTGCAGGCGATTGTGGGGGAGCAAACGACGCACGGCGCCACAAAAATACATCGGCCGCGCGCCGCCGTGTCGTGTCCTCCCAGGGGCAGGAGCGCCCTGGGTAAGCATGCCCCAGTGTGCTGGGGCCTGTGTTCCACCACCACCACAAGTTGGAGGGGGAGGGGGTCCTCCTCCTCCTCCCCCTCCTCCTCCTCCTCCTCCTCCTCCTCCTCCTCCTCCACCATAAGTTGGAGGGGAAGGGGGTCCTCCTCCTCATCCCCCTCCTCCCCCTCCTCCTCCTCCTCCTCCTCCTCCTCGCCTTCCACCTCCCTCCCCCCTCCAACTTCTTGTGGTGGTGGTGGATAACAGGCCCATCACAAGGTCGGCATCGCAGATCAGCCGAAACGTTGCATCACGGTCAACGCGCATGGCAGAGTCAGCCCGCATAGGAAGGAGGGGCAACCTTCCTGAGGGTACCTTTGCATCCTTGCCTCCGCGGCCCGTCCTTGCACCTGACCCTCCAAGGCCTCGCAGCCTTACCGCGCATCCTTTTGACACGCGTCCACTGTGAGGACAGGCGGCTCCCCGAGGGCACCCCTGCGCCCCTGCCTGCTCGGCCCGTCCTCGGCCACTCTTCGCCGGCCAGCCCCCGAGGGTACCCTCTGGGCTCCGCTCGAGGAGCTCAGCTTTCCGGAAGGGAAAAAACGCTCAGACACAATTCATCGTCGACTCCCCCAGAAGAGATGGGAAAATATGGGCAGTGGGTGGAAAAAGACAGAAAAACCCAGAACAGATGGGAGAAAATATGTGGGGGAATCCTGTTATTTGTGTGTGTATCTATGTGTGTGTCCCAGGGCCCCTTGAGGTGCCCCATTGGGGCTCCGCTCGAGGAGCTCTCGGGCGTCCGGGCTTCCCGCGTGCCCACCGCTTCCGCCCCGACCGTCAACTTGCACACCGCAGCCGGGGGGCGGCACGCACGGGGGGCCAACAAAGGCACCGCACTTTTTGCGAGCCGGGGCCAAAGGCGCGCAGCGACGAAGCCTACGGAAGAGCACGCCAAAAGGCAGCGGGCCCGCCCGTGTTCGACAGAAGGAGTTTTGATTCGGGCCTGTCCCTCTCTACAGGAGGGATATCCAAAAATAGTAGAAAATAGCGAGGGGAAAATTCATGTTACCATTTTGATAGTATGTTTGAAGTTTTTTTGTTGCATTTTTGAGAAATATTTGTCGCCCAACATCCGCCTGTAGGGGGACAGGCCCGGCCTGGGACGAGCTGTGCCCACCTCCGCAGAGCAGCGGCGGCAGCGACGGCAGGTGATCGGGATCAACTACGCCTCCGCGGCATCGTCGAAGGCCCGCGGGCCGCCAGCCCCGGCGCCACGCAGCACAGGGGAAGGCACAGGACCCTGGCATCGCTCGGACGTGTGCATTTTTTCTCGGCGAGAACCATCGAGGAACCATCGCGCAACAAAAAACACGCACGAAACCGACAAATGCACGGGAAATGGACGTCCGAGCGATGGCAGGGGACCCTGGGTGGTCAGGCTTCGGGCCTCGTGCGGGCAGCCCCCCCGTGCACGACGGTGGGGTAGGTTCTGCGCCGCCGGCGAAGGCGTGCAAGGTTGAATTCTGCGACGCGCGGGCACCGAGGGACACGGTGACGCCACTGGCCCCGACGGAATTCCGTTGAACGCTCGGGGGCGCGATCGATCCAAGGTTGAACGATCGACCCTGTGTCGAAAACCCTTGCGCGCGCCGACGCCGCACGAGCCTTCCGCAGTTCCAGCCAGTCTCGACAGAGTCCGCCCAAGTCTTGGGGAAGCGTAAGCCTCGAGTTCGCTTGAGCTCGGGCTTGCCGGCGCTTTTTGACGGGCCCGTCCTGGATCTTGATGGTCTGATGTCCGTGGGATGTCCTCGTCAAATTTCAGATTAGGTCTCGCCACTTTTCTGGTGGGCCCGTCAGGCCAACTCCAGTCCTCCAAACTCAAGTATTTCGTCTCCCCGAGAGTAGTCCAGGGCGGTCTCAGCACCCCAATCCTGTGGCGCCGAGCGCCCTAGTGGCGCCGCCAGAGGCGGCGCCAGGCTGTGGAGACCGCCCCGAACTGCTCAGGAGACCTGTGGAGGCCAGCCTGGGCTGCCTGGGGGGCCTAGCAGCGCGCAGCCAAAAGCTTTGCCAACCCAGACAGGGCAGAGGGATTCCAAGGATTCCGCCATCACGCAGTGCTAAAACCAGGCTTAGAGCTCATCACTTCGGAGCCAGGCCGCGATTACAAACCGGTCGTTGAAGGTAGGCTTTGGGGGATTCTTATTTCAATAATCGATACGCTTTTGTTGTGCTTCTCATTCTTTGGGAGGGCCTGGACTCAACCTGCTTTATTCGCCTTCCTACTTCATGGTTTCACTTACTTCTCCCGACCGACGTGTAGTGATAAGACCAGGCTCGAGAACTGAGCGCTCCGGAAATATGCCGCGATGAATCTTGCCAGTGGGGGGAGGGGCGTCGGGAAACATTGAGACAAAGACATGTGGAGCGTGTACCCCCGCCAACCCGAAAGTTGGGTCTTCGGGTTCGGCTGGGGTGTTCTGGCAGGTAATGAGCCAGGATGCTCGCGCCTGGCCTTCGTGAGTTGTGGACTGGCGGCGCCGCAGCGCCAGAGAGCAGGGTGGGAAGAGGAGGAGAAGGAGGAGAAGGAGGAGGAGGAGGAGGAGGAAGGGGAAGGAAAGGGAGAAGAAGGAGGAGAAGGAGGAGGTGGAAGAAGGAGGAGAAGGAAGGAAGAAGGAGGGAGAGGGGGGGGGGAGGAGGAGGAGAGAGGAGGGAGGAGGAGGAGGAGGAGGAGGAGGAGGAGGAGGAAGAGGAGGGAGGAGGAGGAAGAGGAGGAGGAGGGAGGAGGAGGGTCGAGGAGGGCAGTTGTTCAGGGGTCCGCCTCTCCTGCCCGATGCCAGCGGCCCTCACTGCAGGAAGGGTGTGAGGGGCGGCGGAGGTGGGGCAGCGGCACCGACGGCCAGCCCCCCTCCTTCTCTTCCCCCTCCTCCTCCTGCGCGTCCTCCTGCTCCCCCCTCCTCCTGCGACTCCTCTTCCTCCTCCTCCTCCATTTCCTCCTTTCCTCCTCTCCTCCTCCTCCTCCTCCTCCTCCTCCTCCTCCTCCTCCTCCTCCTCCTCCTCCTCCTCCTCCTCCTCCTCCTCCTCCTCCTCCTCCTCCTCCTCCTCCTCCTCCTCCCTCGTCCCCTCCCTCCTCCTCCTCCTCCTCCTCCTCCTCCTCCTCACCCACCTCCTCTTTGCACTGAGCAAGCTTAAACGTCATGGCTGTCCTCCTCCTCTCCCTCCTCCTCCTCCTCCTCCCTCCTCCTCCTCCTCCCTCTCCTCCTCCTCCTCCTCCTCATCCTCCCCCTCCTCCTCCCCCTCCCCCTCCCTCCTACTACTCCTCCTCCTCCCACCCCTCCTTCTCCGCCTCATCCTCCTCCTTCTCCTCCTCCGCCTCCTCCTCCTCCCCCTCCTCCTCCTCCTCCTCCGCTCCTCCTCCTCCTCCTCCTCCTCCTTCTCCTCCTCCTCCTCTCCTCCTCCTCCTCCCCCTCCTCCTCCTCCTCTTCCTCCTCCTCCTCCTCCACCTTTTCCGTCCCACTGGTCGTCAGTGATTATTCAAGCAGTTTGTTTATAAGGGTCCGATGTTTTGCGGAGATATTGTGACCCAGGATCGGTAGGGCGCCAATGTCCCCCGTTGTCTCCAGTTGCGTCCCGTTGTCACCCGTTGTCTCCCGTTGTCTCTTGGTGTTTTCCATTGTCTCCAATTATCTCCCGTTGTCTCCCGCCGTCTCCCGCCGTCTCCCATTGCCCCTCGTTGTGTGTCCCGTTGCCTCCCGTTGTCTCCGGGTGTCTCCCGTTGTCGCCCCTTGTCGCCCGTTGTCTCCCGTTGTCTCCCGTTGCCTCCCGTTGTGTGTCCCGTTTGTCTCCCGTTGTCTCCCGTTGTCTCCTGGTGTTGCCCCTTGTCTCCCGTGGTCTCCCGTTTTCTTCCTGCGTCGCTCGGGGAGTCTCCGTCTACGCCCCGCCCCCCGCCACGGGGTCCAAGTTTTTGCCGGGCCTTCTGCCGCGCAGGGGCGCAGTGCTGCAAGCAAGGGGGCGTTCCGTCGGCACGAGGTCCGTCGAGTATGTCTCCGAGGGCAGCGGCTCTTCTTCGCCCTGCCCAAGGTCTCGGATGCAACTCCTGGGAGGTCAAATTCTGAGTTCGCCCTGGTCCGAAGTCTGGCTACATCCCGTTTAATCTGGCTCAATCCATCTGAATCCCGCTTAAGCCGGCTTAATCCGGCTTAATCCGAGGCCCAGTCTGGCATAACAGCCCCCCGAAGGGGCTTAGTCCTCCCCAATCCTTCCGACGAAGACCTCCCGGAGGTTGCCTCCCAACAAGGTGGGCGCAGCTCTGCTCGCAGTGGGGCCGGATGGGCGCTCGCTCGTTCGCTTGCCCACTGGCTGATTGTCTCTGTCCCTTTCTGGGCGCACTACGTGGTACCATCTTCGGGCTTCGGGTCACCCGTTGCGCTGCGGGTGCGTGTGCAAGCGGCGCCCTTGCCGCACGCACGCCTCTGGACTGTCGGACGCCGCCCCCGAATTTTTGGAGGTCAAGTTCAAATGTCCTTGACATGTTGTCAGGTGGGGACGTTTTTTCCGTGCAACGTCTGATTGGACTTTGCTGGGCATGACCTCCTGGGCAAGATTCGGGTGTCTCCTGTCGCGCCAGATCCATCCGAAGGGTTTCCAAGTCAACGTTTATTGGGAGCCACGGAGAGTCGTTGGCTTTCTTGCCGAACGGGGTACAAAGAATGCGAAGCACGGGAACGAGCGCAGAAGCCGCATAAGAAGAAGAGGACGCACGGGATTGAGTTTCTGCGAATCAGCCCTTCGGCTCGAGATGCGACAGTAAAACAGGGTCCGAGTAGATGGTGTCGGAGGATCGCGCCGCATCATCGCCGATGCATTGGCGATGCATCGCCGATGTACCGGCGATGCGGCGAGATCCTCTGACCCCATCTACTCGGACCCCATCTAGGCGGCCTCTAATAGTACAAGATAGATGTACTAGATGTTCGGGTCGGACGCACCAGTATGTCCTTCTGCGTTTCGTGCACGTCTTCTCTCCGACCGCCTCCGCGCTCCCCGCTCGCCCCCCGCGCGGGGGGGGGCGCCACGAGCAGGCGCAGAATACGAACTACGTCCTGCCATCGGCGAGCCTCGGGGGTGGGGAGCGAGCAGCTACTGCAGCTGGGGTCCACGTCAGAGACTTACTGGGAAGCTTGAAACAGTTCAGAGGAGAATAAATGTCCATACCGCTGCCCCTCCCCCCTTGTCCCACTGTTGGGCCTCCCTGGGGGCCCTCGTTGCCACCGCTGGATTCGCCACGAAGTTCTGGTGCAGAGAGTCGCGGTATCGGTACCTCTGGTTTTCCCAATGGCAAGCTGGAATACGTGACTTGGGCCAGCCCTGCCCAGTTTCCGTTTGTTTTTCCAGCCCCGGCGACCTCGTCATGATTGTTGCGGGTTCGTGTCGGTCCCTGCCTAGTTTCCCAGCCCTTCGCACTTCCACTTTCACGGAACGCCCGAAATCCTTTGTGTCCAGCTCCTTCGTAATCATGATGTGACAGGTACGTGGTTGCGTAAGGAAAAACACGCGTTTCTTCGCGGCGCGGTCTTTGTTTGTTTCTAGTTTGCGCTTCTAGGCGAGGTTCTCTTCTTAGGCGACCACATGAGAGAACACAAGTTGTTCGCTTGATGGCGACGTGGCTGAAGCATGAAGGCACGGCTGAGGAGAAGGATGGGATAAGAGCGAGGTTGCATATCAGAAGCAAGAAGGTGATGAAGTCCGAGTTTTCGGACGTGGACGGAAGTAAATGGTAAAGGGTGTATGCGCACGGGGACAGAGCAGACACAGTGGAGCACGGATGACAATATGTGCAGTGATACAGCACCGAACACGAGGCATAGGGCTGGACGGTACGCATGATTAATACACCAGATTTCGTGATAAAAGGGAGGGGGTCTGGACCCTCCAAGACAAGCCATTTCAGACCTCCCCCGTGGGAGAACCCTCCAAAACATCGTCCCCAGACCCCCCAGGCCCTCCAAGATAGCCTGGAAGAGACCCCCCCCCCGAAATGAGACCCCCCTCCCTTTATTACGAAATCTGGATCACACTGATGAACCATCGCGTGCCAATGGAGAGGACATCTCTCAAACCAGCCCGGCCGAGATCATACGAGCAGCGGGTCGGACGGGATGACCCCCGCAGACCCAGGCGCCCGGCGTCCCGGCTTTTGCTCAAAACACGGGGCCCCGACCTCTCGAGCAGTTCCCCAGGACTGATTTTTCTTTTCATCCCAGGTACACCTTAGGCGATGCTTAAGAAAACTTAAGCTTTCGGCCAGAGTCTCGATTATTCTTAACGTTTCAATGTAAATCCTAAGATTTGAATAGACATTCTGGGTTTTTTTCTCCAAATTCTGAGACTATGAATTTCTTAACCCATGATTTCTAAAGCATTTCGCAGGGTGTAAGCCGAATTAAAAGAAACGCCATGAACACAAACACGTGGCGCTCCGTGCGGGTTTCTTGGATCGGCGCCTGGGCCCCCCAGCGGCACCTCCGGCGCCGCCCCTTTGGGCGCTCCGCGCGCCATGGAGCGGGGTCCAGCGCGGACCCAAGGAACCCGCGCGGAGCGCCAACACATTATGATTATGCAGTGTTTCTTCCTCTAGGAAAGGCCCCGAGAGGCCGAAAATTATGGAACACCTCCGTCTCGGTGTTTTCGCGACGCCGGATGCCTGGGGATGCCGCCCTCAGGTTCACATCTTCCCCGTGCTCCACGAGTTCGTGGAGCACGAGGGCTCCGAGAGTGGCCCCGACGAGCACGTGCCCCCCCCCCCGCCCGCGCGGAGGTGTCCTGGGAGGTCGCACCGATGTCTGCCTGAGCTCGAGTTCTCGCAGCGGTGCTTCGAGCCTATCCTAGCAGAATGGCGGTGGGGGCGTTCGTTGAGGAATGTGCCCTGGAGGTTTCAGACCCTGGGGAATTCCTTTTCTGATGAGGGCGGCCGAGATATCCATGGCCAAGCCCACATCGGTGTTGCACTGGTTTCAGACCCTGGATTCCGTGTCTTAGGGTTCCTTGTCCATTACCCTCTCCGTACCTTGGCTTGTATGAGGCTATCGTCGCCTCGCGCGGTATATCTTGGCGCAGTTTGTCTCAGCCTACCTCATGCTATTGTGGATCCTGCCAGGTTGGTCGACGTGGTTTAGATCAGTTCAATTCGGCCCATCATTACCTAGTGCACCGTACGTTTCATGTGTTGTTGTCCTAGCTTCAAGTGTTGAGTTCGGGGCAGCCGTAGACGTACTCTGCTTACCTTTATTTCCCAAGTCTTGGAGGCCCCTTGGAGGTCCCGTTGGCAGTCTTGCGGCATGTTAAGCCGTCTTGGGGCCATCTTGGGTCGTCTTGGAGGCATCTTGGGCGAACTTGAAGGCTTCGTTGGCCCTCTTGGGCCGTCTTGAAGGGCATCTTGTACAATTTCGGGCCGTTGTGGAGGACATCTTAGCAATATGCGAGGCGAGTTTTCTGCATTTGGGATTCTTCCGGGGTGGCTGGAGGGATGCGCCGAGATCCCATTGTATTGTTTTGTTGGAGTAGCCCAAAGGGCAAATTAATTTTCAGCACGCCGCGCACCCCTTTGCGAGCAAACGGGGGCGGCGGATCGAAGACGCCTACGGCGAATCACCGCCGCCCCCTGCCGTTGGAAGCGCCTGTTTGGCCGACTGTTGTGGCCAACGTTGGGATACACAATGGAATCATGTTTTCTCCGAGCCGTAGTGGGAGCCCTTCGAGGAACATCTTGGGGGGATGAGAGATAGCATCAGGAAAGCGAGGAGGAGGAGGAGGAGGAAGAGGAGGACGAGAAAACCTCTTGGGAGCTTCTCGGAGCACTTTACCAACTCCTGGGAGCTTCCTCGGGGCCTCTTGTTGGCTTCTTGGGGGCCTCCTTTGGCTTCTCGGGGTGCCGTTGGCTGCTTCTTGGGGGCCTCTTTGGCCGTCTTAGTGCGTTTCTAGCCCGTCTGTCGCCGTCGGGAGCCGTCTTGGTGGCCACTCTCTTGGCCGTCTTGGGCCTTCTTGGGGCGCTTCAGGGCCGTCTTGGAGGCCATCTTGGGCGTGTGGGAAGCCCCTTCGGCAGTCGTGGTTTGGGCAGTCTTTGGAGCCTCTTGGGCCGTCATGCGACCATCTTGGAGGCCTCTTGGGCGATTTTTGTTTGGGCCGTTGGACGGCAGAACGCTAGCAACTGCCAACATCCTTGAGAGCACCAACGGGGAATTCATGACTTTGGCTTCTTCGGGCAGATGGAGAACTTCTTGGAGGCCTCGTGGGCCGTCTTGGAGGCTTCTGGGGGGTCTCTTCGGCAATATTGTGCCATCTTGGGGCCATGCGAGGCCGTCTCGGGTACAGTCGGCCCAGATTAGTAGGTCGACCCTGCCAGCTCAAGAGTACCCTTGTGCCCTGATCCTCGCGACGCGTTTCTCCTGCATTCCTGTGGCAGCGTGCCCCTCGGAAAGAGTCTGTTGTCCTCTCGCGTGTCCTGTCCAATGAAGTCCGACTGTAATCGAGGATGACGATTAATAAATGACCGGGGGTCGTGTTCACGCGGCGGCGCCCGGGATGACGATTGGAAAAACCGGCCGCGGGCTGGAAAATTATTTTGTTCATCGTTCTCCGCCAGTCAGAAAATTGTGCAGAAATAGCAGAAAATTTGTTTTAATTGGTATCTCCCATTTGTTTTACTCATCGTCATCCCGCATTACATTTTGGGCCGTCTTGGCGACACCCTGCGGCCACGTCGGGCCAGCCGTCTCGGAGGCCCACCGTGGGGCCATCCCGGGAGGGAGGCCACTGGAGCGCGCAGTGGGTGCTGCTCGCCGGGTGGCTGGCGCGATCGGCCCAGACCATTGTTGGAAACATATTTATATATATATATACACACATACATACATACATCCATAGAACTGTACATGTATATGTACATATAAAAAACGATTTTCTTTTTATTTAAAACCATACATATACACAAATAAATACATACAAAACATGCCCACATCTGGCGCGCCGCGTGCCCCTGTGGCAAGGCCGCGCGGGGCGGCGGATCGAAGACGCCCACGGCGAATCACCGCCGCCCCCCTTTGTTGCGGCCAGGTGCTCGGCGAAGCTGCTCGACTGCGCGCTCCCCTCGCCGTTGCGGCAACCAGTCGAGCGACACGTTGGTGAGACAGAAGAGGAGGAGAGGGAGGAACAAGGATGATGATGAGGAGGAGGAGGAGGAGGAGGAGGCCTCTTGGGAGCCCGTGCACCCCCTGTGACAAGCCAAAGGGCTGGCGGATCGCAGGCGCCTGCGTCGAATCGCCGCCGCTCCGTGCCTTTTGGACGCGCCGATGTGGCCGAACGTTGCGGCCAGGTGCTCGGCGAAGCTGCTCGACTGCGCGTTCCCCTCGCCGTTGCGGGCACCAGTGGGGTGACACGTGAGTGAGACAGAAGAGGAGGAGAGGGAGGAACAAGGAGGAGCAGGAGGAGGCCTCTTGGGAGCCCCTTGGGGCACTCTTGCGACCTCCTGGGAGCGTTCTGTGGACCTCTCGGAGGCCTCGCGGGGGGGGCTTCCCTGGGCCTCTTGGGGGCTTTTAGAGGCTCGTTGGGAGGCTCTTCGGCCGTCTGCGGGAGTTCCTGGCCCGTCGGACGCCATCTCGGGGGCTTCTATGGGTCAACTCGGGGCCCTTTGGGGGCGCTCCAGGGCCGTCTTGGAGGCCACCTTGGGCATGTTGAAGGTCTCCTGGGCCGTCGTGGGGCCCTCTTGGGGCTGTCTTGGGGGCCTCTTTGGTCGTTAGGGGGCCATCTCGGAGGCCTCTGGGCCGCTCTTGGGGCCATTTTGGTGGCCTCTGGGGCCATCGGAAAGCCGAAAATGAGCAAACGCTAGAACTGGTCAAACACTAGAGAGAATCAACAATTGTTGCCTCTTCGGGGCTTCCTGGAGGTCCTCTTGGAGGCCTCCTGTGCCATCTTGGAGGCCTCTTTGGCGATCTTGAGGCCACCTTGGGCCATCTTGGGGGCATCTCGGTCCGTCTTGAGGTCATCTTCGGGGAATGTTTGGTTCTCTTGGGGCCATCGTGGCCGTCTTGGAGACTATCTTGGCCGTGCTGGAGGCCATCTCGGAGCCGTCCCAGCGGGACAACGGCCGTCCTGGATCTTGGGCCCTCGTGGAGACGTGTTTTCCAGTTGAGGTCGTTGCGCGTCCTGCCGCGGCCTTGCGCCTTCTTCCGGGTGGCCGGCGGGTTGGGCCGCAGCGCATACGGCGACTAACATTAGAAAAACGAGGAGGAGGAGGGGGAGGAGGAGGAGGAGGAGGGGGAGGAAGACAAGCTAGGTGCGCTCGCGTCATATCTGACGTCCTACCCCTCCCTCCCATCCCTTACCATGGCGCTGATTTTCTCTATCCGCGGACGCGTGTCGTAGCGGACCTGTGGCTCCGCGCGCGCGTGGTGGGTGGTGGTGCGCGTGCGTGCGTGCGTGTGTGCGTGGTTGTGGTGGTGGTGGTGGTGGGTGGTGCTGGTGCTGGTGCTGGTGCTGGTGCTGGTGCTGGTGCTGGTGCTGGTGCTGGTGCTGGTGCTGGTGCTGGTGCTGGTGCTGGTGCTGGTGCTGGTGCTGGTGCTGGTGCTGGTGCTGGGTGCTGGTGCTGGTGCTGGTGCTGGTGCTGGTGTGGTGGTGGTGGTGGTGGTGCGGCGCGGTGGTGGCGGGCGGATGGGCGCGCGAGAAAGAGGCCCGCGCTGGGGCGAGAACGCCATCCTGAACGACGGAGGCCAAACACCGATCCGAAAATGAGGCCCACGCTGCAGCGGGAGCACGATTCGGAACGATTCGGGAGCAGAAATGAGGCCGGCGCCTCAGCGAGAGCAGCATTTTTGAAAAAAACACAAGCGAAAACCCAACTCCGGGGAATCCTGTGTGTAAAAAAACAGTACGCGGGGGGGTGCCGAATATCTTCCGGACGCCATCAGGGGAAGTGGGAGAGTATTTTCATATTGTGTAATTGTGGAGCCAACAGCGCATAGCATTAGGCAAGCCGTGCACCCCCTGTGGCAAGCCAACAGGGGCTGGCGGATTGAAGATGCCTGCCTCGAATCGCCGCCGCTCCGTGCCTTTTGGAAGCGACGATGTGGCCGAACGCTGCGGCCAGAGCTCGGCCAAGCTATCGGATCATGCGTTTCTCCAGCCGTTGTGGAAACCAGGCGGGTGACGCGTGGGGGAGGAAGAAGATGAGGAGAGACCTCTTCGAGCTTCCCTGGAGGCTCTCCAGGAGGCCTCGTGGGGTCCTGTCGGGCTGTCTTGGGCTATCTTGGGGCCATGTTGAGCCATCGTGTGTGCAGATTGGACCGTCTCGGAGACATCTTGCGGCCATGTTGGGCTCTCTTGGGGCCACCTTAAACGTCTTGGAGGCATATTGGAGGGCCATCTTCGGCCATCTTGGCCGTCTGGGCGCAGGGAAACCGATGACCTGGGAAGTTCACGGGTCCTCATGGGGCGGTTTGGAGGCCATCTTGAGCCGTTTGGAGCGGGAAGACCGATTAATTGGGAAGTGGACGGGTCCTGGGTGGCTTGCGGGATCGGCACAAGGACCATTGGGAAGTGTTCGAAAGGACCAGATGCTCAGCGAAGATTGAAAATGCGAATCGGTGATCTGGGCATCCTGGAGGTCCTCGTGACACTTTCTTGGGGCGTCTCTGGGGCCATCTTGGGTGTATCTCGGGCCGCCTTGGAAACACCTTGGTGCCATCCGGAGCTCTCTTGAGGATCGTGGTGGCAAGTTTTTTGTTTTTTTCCCTCCTTGCGTGTCCTTCCGCGTCCTTCTGGGTGGCCCCTTGCTGGACCGGGTCTTCAGCAGCCTCCCAAATGTGGTCCGAGCATATGTGGCCAGAGGACAACACATCGCCATGGCATCGGCGATGCGGCTCGATGAGGAGCCCGATTTCCTCCACGCCGTCGGCGCCGATGCATCGCCGACGTGGCCGATGCCGATGTATCGGCGATGCATTGGCGATGCGGCGCGATCTTCGACCCTGTCCACTCGGACCCAATTTGGGAGCTTTCTAGCGATGCAGCCCCACCCCTCCTCGGCCCCACCACTTGGCCAGAATAGTGAGAAACATATGGAGAATATGAAACGTAAAAAACAGAAGAAGAAGCTGACCGCGACGACGGTTCTTGGCGCGGAACCAGCCAACACGTGTGCAGTTGAATGGATTAGATTGAGCGAGAACTTCTCTCTTCGACCCTCGTTCTGCGAATAGTAAGGCGGCACGTAATCACGAGTGGACGTGCAGATGTTGTATGTGCATCCGTTATTTTCATTTTGACGCCCAGCCGCGCAATCGCCGTCTCTTGTGCCATCCCCTTCACCTAATGGCGAGGTGCAGCTGCGGTTCGCCCCCATCGGGGCGACGTTCATCGAGTCCGCCGCTCGGAGGGGGCAGGGAGAAAAGCAGGTGAAGACGAGCAGAAGTGGAGGAGCACCAGTAGGAAGGGGACGAGAGGGAGCAAAAGGAGGAGCAGGAGGAGGAGGAGGAGGAGGAGGAGGAGGAGGAGGAGGAGGAGGAGGAGGGAGAAGAAGAGGCGGAGGAGGAGGAGGAGGAGGGAGGAGGAGGGGAGACGAAGGAGGGGAGGAGATGAGGAGGAGGAGAGAAGAGGAGGATGGGGGAGAGGAGGAGCATGAAGAAGAAGAAGAAACATAAGGGGAGCAGGAGGTGGAGGAGGAGGAGGAGAAGGAGGAGGAGCAGGAGCAGAGGAGGAGGAGGAGGGGGAGGAGGAGGTGGAGGTGGAGGAAAAGGAGGAGCAGGAGCAGGAGGAGGAGGAGGAGGAGGAGGAAGAGGAGGAGCTGGTGGCGGCACGGCAGGTACACCAGAGAAACTGGCCCGCCAACGGGTGCCCCACCAGAGTGTCTTCTTCTCCCGTGTGGCCCGCAGAGCCCTGGAGCACTCCACGAGGCTGAGCGTCAAAGAAGGCTCCTGAAGAAGCCCCGCCGCCTGCCGCCCCCCCCCCGTGGCGCGCCCCGGCGGCAACCGCGGGCGCCCCGTGTGCGGGGGGGGGTCCCCGCTCCTTCCCCCCTCTTCCTCCTCCTCCTCCTCCTCCTCCTCCTCCTTTTCCTCCTCCTCCTCCTCCTCCTCCTCCTCCTCCTCCTCGTGTTCCTCCTCCTCGTCCTCCTCCTCCTCCTCCTCCTCGCGCTGGTGCTCGGTCGCCAGGTGTGTTACAGCAAGATTTCCTGACGTATGCGTCAAGGGAGGAAAAACACCCAGGGATCCAGCGTATCGAAAACATCAAGACGGAGGTGTTTCGCAAATTTCGGCCCCAAAGGGCCCTCGCCGGGCCTCGGGACCGTCAAAAAACGACTCAGGATGAAAACCGGTCCTGGGGAATGGGTCGAGACTTCCGGGGACCACCCGGACAGGACAATTTCCGTTTACTAAACGGCCCTGGGCGTTTACTAAACAGCCCTGCCCTATTTGATTCGTTCTCTGGGTGTGTTTACTAAACGGCCTCGCGCGTCGGGGTGGTTATGATCGGGATGGATTTTCTGCCCTCTAATGTGCTTACTGCACAGTTGCAGCTGCAGGGAAGCAGAAACCTGATGCAACAGATATTTCGATTGTTGCGCAGGTGGCACCTGCACGCGCACAGCGTTTAGGCCCGGTTTCTGATAACGCGCACCTTTGCGTTGATTTGCAGTTGGTGCGTGGCGTCGACCTTCCAGCATGATGTGCTTGCACTTTTGTGAGCACGCAAATCTAGAGGAACGTGTGAATGCAGGTGGAGCGAGGTCGGCGTTCGGCGTATCCCCCCCCTTCCGTCGCTGCAGCAAAAGTCACGACGAGACTTTTTGTGATTTTCGGGTTCCAGGGGCCCTCACCGGGCCCCGGGACTGTAAACAAATCGACCCAGGAGGAAGACTGGGTCCGAGAAGTCGGGGGCGGCAATGAGGGGGGTGAGGACTAGGGGGGGGTGGATATCATGGCGGGGGCCATGCTACTTCCCGAGATTCCATGGCGCCTCTTCTTGTTTCATGACGTCCCTGGCCCCCCCTGCTGGGCCGCGCACGTGCCGCCGGTCATGAGTTGCACCCCCCCCTCTTGGGCACCCCCCCTTTGGCCGCTGCCGAAGAAAAAGGGTCCAGATCTCCGGGGGTCCACGTGGTGAAAGCCAAGACGCCCCAGGTGCGGCAGGCCCCGCGGACGGGCGCCGTTCCCGGAAGCGCCAGGACGGGCGAAGGCGCCTCGCTGCCCGGACGTGCCCGCGCGGGAGCGCCGCACGCGCCGTGCTTTCGAAGCCTGCGGGCGGAGCTCGCGGCGCCGTGGCTCGTCACGTGTTGGGCCGCGCGTTGGCGCACGTAGCGCGGCAGCCTTACGCCTTGAGCCCAGGCGTCGAGCTTCGCTTCCAAACGCTCCGGCTTGCCCTGGCATCGCTCGGACGTGTGCATTTTTCCTTCGGCGAGGACCATCGAGGAGCATCCTTGATCATTTGGCCAAAAAGCCACGCACGAAACCGAAAAAATCACAGGGACTGGACGTCCGAGCGATGGCCAGGTTGGCGAACGTAGCGCGGCAGCCTTACGTTTTGAGCCCAGGTGTCGAGCTCCGCGTCCAAACGCTCCGGCCTGCGTGTTGCATACGGTCCAGACGCTGAGATGATGATCCCCTTGGGGTTCGGGAGGGGTTAATAAAACGACGCGAAGATCGGGACAACATCGGATTGGGATAACTCGAAATCTCTGAGAATCGGCGGGTTTGGAGGATGTCTTGGGCGCCGCGGCCGCTCCAGAGCGTTCCGGAACGCTCTGAGAGCGCTCCGGAACGCTCTGGAGCGATTTATCCCGATCCTGGCCCTGTTTTATTAAGGTGCTCTGCGGGAAGTCGGGGGAGCGGCTGGCTGTCGACAGGAACGCCTTTTCGTTCCTCATTCAGCGGCCCTCGTGGCTGCAGTTGGGTGATGGGATTTTCTGACGTGCCATAGCGCTCCCAGAGAGAGAGAGAGAGAGAGACTTACAGACAGACAGACAGAAGCCATGCGCAATCCTTTGTAGACCGATGCGGACACGCCAATATCGTGCAGAAGGTGAGCAACAACACGCCAAAGACATTATATGTTACAGGCACGCCAAACACGTGCAGGTGGCAGGAAGAGGATACGCAGGATGACGATGAACTATGCTGAAGACGTGCCTCAGAACGCATCGGACCAGGAATTCTCTATCCCGTCGCGTTTGTTGTGAGAGCTCGCATGCGCAACTTGCCCACTGCAAAGTTCGGAGACGGCCCCGCCTCCTGACAGATCGCCACTCCTTGGGGGTCTCCGCGCCAGGCTCGCAAACGCGGATTCACAAATGTGAAGCGTAGTTAGTCTCTCTGCACCCTCGCTCCGCACTTGCTTGCATCCGTCTCACTTCCCCCTCTGCTTCCCTTGTCTTCTCCGCGGCCCAGGGGTGTGACCTCGTGTGCGCGACCTGGCCAGTGAAGAAAATAACGCGCAGGAGGAGGAATAGGAGCAGGAGCTAACAAGAGCTTTGAACAAGCCATCGTCCGCCAGCTGCGATTGTCATGCAATTCTCCGAACTGTCGGAACTCTCCGGCGCTGGCCCTAGTCGCGGCGGCCCCGGCGCGCTCCGCACCGCGGGGGAGGGCCTGCCGCCGCAGATCCAAGACATCCACACAGACCTCCGACAGCTCCTCCTCCTCCTCCTCCTCCTCCTCCTCCTCCTCCTCCTCCTCCTCCTCCACCTCCTCGATTCCTCCTCCTCCTCTTCCTCCTCCTCCTCCTCCTCGGTGTTGTGGATACGGGTGAGGAGACGGGCGCGGGTTGGGTCGCGGGTTGGTCGCGCCGGGGGTCGCCTGGTTGGTCGCGGGTGGGTCGCGGGCGGGTGCTGGGACAGGACGACGACAAAAACAGCAAACGATAGCAATCAGCAGAAACAAATATCACGTCAGTATTGTTTTTTCTCACCGGCTCGCGTGCCATTCCCCACGTAAATCACAAACCATCGATACCCGCGCTCTTCGCCTTAGATCGTATCTTTTTTGGGCATATCTTCCTCACCTGCCACTTGTAATTTCTGGTAGCAACTCATGGGAGTTTGGTGTACCCTCTGAATTCCGTTTTTAACGTCCTCTAGCGTCCATGAGCGTGTGGGAGTCGATGAGATGGTGCCGAGTTGATATCGGCTAGCGTCGACTAGCGCCGACTGAGCGTCGTTCAGCGTCGATCCGCAAGAGCCGACAGCATGGTGTGGGAGGCCCTCGCGGGTTGCCACCGAATAACTCGTGCGACCCCTAGAGCAGGGTAGTAGAGGACGGGTGGAAACCCCGGGGAGGGAGGCGCATGGAGATCGAAAGAGATGAGCAGGAGGGGGGGCTAATAGTAAGTCGGGTCTGTCCCCCTACAGGAGGAACATTCCAGAATAGTAAGCTATAACCAGGGGATGTTTTCTTCGTGCTCTTTGATCATATGTGTTTTGACATGTTTGATTGTTTTTCCGCGAATCCGTTTGTCGGAGGACATGGTCGACCTAAAATTATCACGACGGGGGCTACGAGCAGAAAACACGCGGCGGAACCATCAGGCGGGTAGACCTCAACGGGCGGGTCGGGAAGGCGGGCCCAGGCGGCTAGGTCGAGCGGGCGGGTTGTTGAAGCGTGATTCCTGCATGGATCGCAAGGAGATCTTGAGCGATAGCGCGGTTTTTCATACATCTTGAGAGAAGTCAGAGCGAGAGCGCGAGTTCTGAGCGTCGAGGGCGCGGCGTTAGAAACAATTGCGACGAAATTCCACGTCAGTGCGCAGTTCCTGCATACATTATGAGCAAGTCCCGCGGGACAACACGATTTTGACATCAATTGTGTAGTATCAGGCGGGAGCCGTCGTTGTTGGAAGTCGTGGGCCACGGGTCAGTTCTGAGGTCCAAGGCTTCCCCACTTTGTGAAACAGTGCGAGCCCCGTGAGGTGCACTTGCATGGAATAAACAGATGTGCGCCGGGCCGCGTGCAATTAAACACGTGTATCCTAAACCCTCGATGCTTGCCCTCTCTGTCTTCGATCGTACCCCCTTAGGTGTCTATCTTCCTTACCTGCCACGCGCATTTCATGCAGCACCGAAAAACATGGGAAGAGAGGGCGGACGGAAGGGGGGGAAGAAGGAGGGAGCACGAGAGAACTTAGCAGGAGGGGGGCTAGGAACGAAAAGCACGTGGCAGAACCCGACGGGCAAATCGGGCGGGCAGCTCCATGGCGGGCGGGTCGGGCAGGCGGGCGCGGGCGGCCAGGTCGAGCAGGCGGCTTGCTGAGGCGCGCGTCCTGCATGACTCGCGAGGAGGTCCGGGGCGGCAGCACGATGCCAAGTGAATCCTGAGAGAAACCATGGCGAAAGCGCGATTCCCCAGTGTAGAGGGCGTGGCGTGTGGGTAAACTGTGGGGAAATCCCGCGCGACAGCGCGATTTCGGAATACACTGTGCGGAAGTATCAGGCGGGAGCCGTTGCTGTTGTAGCTCGGGAGCCGGGGGGGCAGTTTGGTGACATGTCATTTTCCCTTGTACAAAACAGCGTGTGAGCCCAGGGATTAAATACTTTAAAGACAATTGTTACCGAAAGGGGGATCACAACATAACTAGTATTCAGAAGCGAAAGTACAACAACAGCAAAAATAACATTATCCATAACAACCGCAGCAACAACAATGATCTTGAGACTGTTCACTTTTATCTCCATTGACCACGTAGATCCCCACACCTCGATACCCATCCTCTTCGTTTTCGATCGTACCACCTTGTGGGGTATACCTTTTTTGTTTGCACCGTGTATTTCATGCAGCCCCTGCGGCAGGGGAAGAGAGGACGGATCTAATAAAGGGACCAGGGGAGGGAGGAGGATGGAGCACGGAAGAGAGAGAGAAGCAGGAGGGGGCTGGGAGAAGAACACATGTGGCTGAACCAGACGGGCAGATCGAGCGGGTAGATTTTAACAGGCGGAAAGGCCGGCCCAGGCGGCCATGCCGAGCAGGCGGGTTGTCCACGTCTCGAGCGATAGCGCGATTCCCAAGTATTTGGCGATAGGCCACAGGTCAGAAATATTGCCAACGCCACCAGGGGCCTTTGGGCAAGCAATCTTAGGAGCATATACATGGAAACCTCCAAGCTGAGTTTGGCCATTTTCAAAATATCCGGACAATTACCGTCTCCAAAAATATCCGTGGACATCTCTGGCAAATTTCCGGGCTCAAAATCGTTTGGGAGATATCGGGCACATTTCTTGTGTCCAGAAATCATTGGAACATTTTCCGGCATTTCCGAAGCACTTATCTAGGAATTTCCGGGGAAATATTAGGTTGCGCATTTCCACGTGATATGTATATATATAAAAATATATACGTGCAGGGGCCATACATACAGCTATATGTAGACAAGCTGTTGTTTACTACTATGATCATGTGGTGCAATGGCATGGTGTCGCCGACCGTACGCTGTGAAATCTATCACAGGAACACCAGTGCACGGACGGCGTGTACGCAAGACACCAAGTCAAAGCAGCACGTGCGTAAGTGCCTATGCGTGCGCGTGTGCGTTTTCAAAGGCATAGACGGATGCACCTGGATAACTGCATGAGCTCACAATCGCGTATCCGTTTACGTCCCTTTGTGCAGACGTGTACACACGTAAGAATCTCACAACGCGCCGATCTTTGGCTCCGGAGTGCGTGCCGGGTTTCTCGGCCCCAACGCCCTCACACGCCTCAAGACGCCCCCCCGGCACGGCCCCAACGCGGACCCACAACGGCCCAAGTGGGCCCACGAGGTAATGAACGAGTGCGTCCGCTCCTGCTTCTTTTGCTCCTGATCCCAGTAATCCCTCCCTTCCTTCTCATTATCCGCCCCGGAGGAACCACTTCAATTCACTTGAATTCAATTCAAATCAACTCAATTCAATTCAAGTCAGTTCAATTCAAGTTAATTCAATTCACTTCAACAACAACAACAACAGCAGCAGCAACAGCAGCAACAACAACAACACATAGACAGAATGCAGTCCGCGGAATCTGTCTAAGACCACGCACCCAGGGACAATGAATGCCCGTTCGACCCCTTCACTCTGACGTTATGCAATTTGTCTGCTCCTCTATATTTAGGTCCACCGACGCCATCTACAACGCTTCGGGCGGCTGCACCAGCGGGCCGCTCGTCTCCAAGATCTCGGCGAGGTCCGTGCTGGCATTTGCCGAGCCCCCGATCCCGGAGCAGGTGCAGCTCGTGGTGGGGCGGGCTGGTCGGGTCGGAAGCTCAGAAGTGGACACCAACACCATTATCATTATCGGCGGTGTGCTTGCACCGAGGGGAAATACCCCCAAAATCTGGGAGCACCTTCTGCCGTTGGGGGCACCCCTTGTGTTGGTGTTGCTGCCCATGTACGGGCCTCCCATTGGGGGGTGCACATGGGCGGGGCTCAGAGGAGGAAGCGGTACAGTCGGGGCGCTGAAGAAGGAACCTTTTTTCGTTGGGGAGGGGCTCCGTGTTCTGAAATAGTTTCGCAGTTTGCCGTGGGCGTTCTTTCGGTTTTCGATGGGAGATAGGCGATTGACTTCTGGAGAATTGGGGCCTCGTTGTTATTCTCTCGTTCCTTAGATCAGCGCCCCGACTGTAAGGGGTGGTGCACATCATGGCCGGGGCTCGGAGGAGGAAAAGGGATTCACACCTCTGGCCTTCCCTCGTGTTCTCTCCCTTGTTTTCGGGCCGATTCTGGGAGGTCCTCCTCATCGCCACCGTGGGATTTTCGCCCCACAGTCTTGGCGGTCCGAGCGGGCCCCGGGGGAGACGTCCGGGGGGATGATGCTTAAGGGGTGATTCGAGACGATCGGTACAAAGACCGACAGCAGTTTCTGTTCATTTTGAGACAACATTTGCTATTAGACATTGTACCCGTGTTTACCGTACCCACTTCGGGCGTCCAAAGTGGTGGGCGTCATGGCCGGGGCCACGATAGCGTCGGATGCATCTCTTGGGGGGTCCAACTCTGGCTTCGCCTTGGTCCGAAGTCTGGCCGAATCCAGCTCCATCCCGGTCAATTTAGTACAAGTCCCGTTAGAGCCGGCTTATCATCCAGCTGCATCCCGGCCAAATTTGGCGCAGCAGTCTCCCCTGCAATGGGGTTTTATCCTCCGGATGCTTTCCGACGAAGACGTCCCAGCAGTCGCCTCCTAATACGATGATAGCCATGATTCGGTGGCGAGCGACGGGGGAATTGGGAAGGGGCCTCGGAAGCCCCCCAGCCTCCTGAGAGGTTTCCTGGGCCTTTCCCCGAAGGCAGAAGGAAACGGTTCAGGAAGCGCGAGGGCTTTGAAGAAGTCCCGCCGCCTTCTGAGAGGGCCTTCTCTTGTTCGCTGTCCCCCCCGGCGCTCGCCGCCGAACGGATAGTTCCCGGGGTTTCATGGCCCCCCTCTCCTCGTTTTAGGTCGGGCGTTTCTCTTTTACCTACGGGTTCTGGACGACAAAGTTAAACATACTCCGAAACAAACACACTGGTTTCAAAATGGTGGAAACATCCTCCCCTGATTATTTGTTGATGATTCTTGAATCTCACTCCTGTAGAGGGACGCGTGCCCGACAGAAGCCTTGCTCCAGGGCGTTTCCCCAGGCCCCCCCCCCCGTGAGCCTCGCCTGTGCCCCGGGGCCAGGGCAACTTTGCGAGCCCCCCCCTCCTTCCTCGTGGACGACCCCCCCCCCTACTTGGACGCCCCCAGCGGGGAGGGCCGCGGCGCCTGGACTTCTGAGGCGGGATTTCTCCGACCCGAGGAGGAGGAGGAGGAGGAGGAGGAGGAGAAGGAGGAGGAGGAGGAGGAATAGAAGGAGGAATAGGAGAGGGAGGAGGAGGAGGAGGAGGAGGAGGAGGAGGAGGAGGAGGGGCGCCAGGCATGATGGAGGCCTGTGATAGCTTGGTGGAGAGGGCCCGGGCTTGGACTCCTGCCTTCACGGTTTCTTGCGCAAGTCTTTGATGCCCCCTTTCTGGACGCCTCCGAGGGGAGGGCGGATGCGGGCGGATGGGTCCGTTGCACGGGGGGTCTTAACAGTGTATGCGCTAGTTCCTGCAGTCGGCCGTGCGGGGTACGCACGTCGTACACGTTCAGCTCGCGGCTGCCATGCGCCATGCCCCACGGGATGAACCATTGCATGTTTCGTTTGCGACCCCATTGCGAAAGATCCCTTTTGTCTAGAACCAAAGAGGGCCTGGGCCCGGACCTCTTCCCTCACGATTTCTTGCGCAAGTATTGGTTGCAGGCTGGCGATTTCGGGCCGGCTGGGGGTCCTCGAGGTGGCCCAATATTGGCTCTGGCCAGCAGGAAGGGGGAGCCAGGTTCGAAGCGTTGGGTTTCGGGAGGGTGTTGTTCCTTTTTTTTTAGCCTCCGAGGGCCGTATTCTGTCCCCGGGACCGTCAAAGGTGGATCTTGGTCCAGAGACCGATGTTGACCAGATTTGATTTCATCCGCTCCTCCTGACAGAATTTCTGGGGTGCCACCTAGTTCAGACCCCTGGGCCGCCTCTGGGTTGGGGCCTGGCTTTGGGCGGGGCCAGGACGAGGATAAATCCGTTCCCGAGAGTTCCAGAACGGTCTCAGAGCGGTCCGGAACGCTCTGAGAATGGCGTGGCGCTCGACACATCCTCCAGAGCCGTCGGATCTCAGAGATGCTCTATTCTCAGGCGATCGCGCAAACATGGACTAAGGGCGCGTGGATTAGCGACGGGTCCGCTTCCGTGGGAAATCTCTGATTTCCGCCGCCGAGCGAGGCGTTGGCACCGGCCGCATTTTGGGGAGGTGATCCATGGATTTGGCGACCGCGCGCCAAATCCATGGATCGCTGATCCATGTTTGCGCGCCCCCGATATTCATCGCACCCGAATTGATCCTCGTCTTGTCTTCGTCTCATGGATGTTTTCCGTCACGATCTCTTGCGCACGTGTGGGTGGCAGGCTGGCAGCGCTGCTCAGAGCGCGGGCCCAACGGAGCACATTTGCACCCACAGGCAGTGCGATTTCTTGACCGCGAGGCCGCGGACATGGACTCCGTTGCGTCTTCGGGAGGCCTCGCCTGTTCCCAACATTGGTGTCTTCTCTTGGGCCCCACGCGGACTCGGTGCAGACCCGACGCGCATTCGGCACGGCTTCGACGCGGGTTCGACATGGATTCGACACGGTTCCGACGAGTCCAGCATGGATGCGGCACGGATTCGATGTGGATGGGGTGGCGATGGGACAGGTCTTGCGAGGATGCAACATAGGCATGGATTTAGGTCGGGCCTGTCCCCCTTACAGGGGGATTGTGGACGAAAATAAACAATGACAAAACATATTCCAAACATACCAAAACATATTTCAACATCGTCGCCAGACTATGTTTTGACTATTTTTGAATATTCCCCCTGTAGAGGGACAGGCCTGACTTAAGCGTGGATATGTGTTCGCCGCTTGCGACGTGCGGCGCGCCAGTGGCCTTCCTGTCCGCTGCGGGAGGGGCCCCTCTTGACGCGTGCGCTCCGCCAGCTTCGTTTGATGTCTGCTCGTGGGAGCCTTGGGCGGTGACGTTGGAGTTTCTGTGGCTCCGTTCGGGCCGCATGGCCGCATGTGGACCGCATGTGGCCCTTCCTGCTCCTCCTCGCCCGGTTTCGTTCGACTGTCTGCTCGTGGGAGCCTTGGGCGGCGGCGTTGGAGTGTTCTGTTGTTGCTGCGTTCGGACCGCATGTGGACCGCGTTTGGCCCCTGCTCCTGCTCCTCCTCGCCCTTCCTGTTCCTCCTCCCCCTCCTCGCTCTTCTCGTCTCCCTTGTGAACGGGCGATTCTGGTACAAGTCCAGTCCCCCAAACGTGTTCGAATCTGGACAGCATCCGGACAGCATGTGGACGACATTTGGCACGTCATCTTGCTCCTCCTCCCCCTCCTCGGTCTTCTCGTCTCCCTTGTGAACGGGCGATTCCTGTCCAAGTCCAGTCCCCCAAAGGCGTTCCAAAGCCGGTCCAGATCAGGTTCGAAACGCTCCGCGCCGGCGGCCACGCGGGCTCCTATGGAACGGACACCAAAGTTTCGCCAGTTCCCGGGAAACGTAAGACCCGAGTAAGCCGGAACTCGGATTTGCCAACGGTTTTTAACAAGCGCGTCTTGCCTGGACGTCAGGGGTCCAGTTTTCGTGAGATGTTTGCAGCGGGAGATCGCGTCAAATTTCAGATTGGCTTCGTCATTTTTATGATGACCTGGTCAGGCCAACCCGAGTCCCCCGTAAAAGCGGTAGCCCGATGCTGGCACATGCATTGCATCGATTTGGTTTGATCGTCCTTCTTGGTTGTCTGAGCTTGATCAGAGAGTGATCCATGTGAGGGCAGACAGCCGCGGAACACGAGCCCCATTAGCGGGCGGGTTGCGTCGCCCTCTGAGCTTCACATGGGTGTTGGGTCTGCGCTGCGCGTCTCGTACTCGAGGGAGGAGAGACGCTGACCATGACCGATATGTCGCCGGATCTTGTCGACCCCGATCTTGGTCATGGTCCATGCCGGTTGTCGCGGATGCGCGAGGATGATACACGAATCGGCGATGTTCAAGATGGACGATGACTAAGATCGACGAAGACGTTTCCGTGGTCAGTCTGGGTCATGGTCATCGCTGTCTGCCAGTGTAATCTTCGCAGGCAAGCGCCTGCTCGTGCATACTAGGTCGGAGTAGATTTGCCCAGGAGTGGTTCCGGGTACGGGAGGCAGTGGACGGCGTTCAGCTTGACAAGTTCGGCATGGGCAGGAGAGTGGGGTTGGGGGGGGGGCTTGCCAGAAAGTGAAGATTGGGCATGTGGGCAAGTGGGCAGGGAGCGTAGGAGGAGAAGGAGTGAGGAGGTCCAGGAGGAGGGGAAAGGAGGGACATGGAGGAGATTGGAGTAAGATAGTGTGGAGGTCGAAGAAGAACAAAATGCCACAAGCTTTTGATTCGCCTTCTTTCTCTTCTTCTAGGAAGATGGTGCGGTCTCGTGCTCACACCTCTGCTGGCATCTCCTCGCTCCGGTCCAGCCCAGTTGCACCCCTTTTGCTTGCGTACGCAAGGTCGCCCGCAAGGAAAACAGATGTCTTCACGAGCCTTCCCTGCCAGAAGCTCTTCCACAGGCCTCAGCGGTGCAATATTCTCGAAGGCAGCCTCAGGAGACAGCATTGACAACCCTACACCCATCAGGTATCTGAATAAGAAACAAACAGTTCATTCTCATGGGATCCAGATCTCGTTTTAGAGGATTAAGCATCTGTACTGGACCCTGGGCGTTGGAGCCTCGTTTCTTCGTAGAGGTTTCGTAGATCTGAAGCTGGGCTACTACTTCTGAACACGCTTGGAGTGAAGTCAATTTTCTTAGCGTGAAGTGTTCTGAAATCCAACCCCTGACGCCCCCTTCAGGGTTTTCCTGCCCGGAGCCTGGGGACGACGACGACGTGCACCCATTCCATTTTCGATGGTGGTAAACCGCCCAACGGTAAGTGAGACTGTAGAGGCGTTTCTCATTTTCACATTGGTATTTAGGTTCTCCCTGGGTGCCTTATCATATCCGTCGTCTCTTCGCAGTGGGGTTCATGGAGCCTCTCAGAAGCAGATGGAGGATGATCCCGATTGGGCTCTCTGCAAACCAGAATTATGCTCTCTCTCTCTCTCTATCTCTTTCTTTCTCTCTCAATCACTCTCTATTTCTCTCTCTCTCTTTTTTTTTCTATCTCTCTCTCTCTATATATATATATATATCCCCCGCCTCTGTGAGACTTGCTCGCGTTCCCGCGCGATCGCTTGGTATTTTGGTGAACGTTCAGACAAGCGCCGGGCAATTGGATTTGTGCTCCCTGGTCTAAGGCTTCGTGCCTGCAGTCTCTTGCTGAGCAATCGCCACATGTATCGCAGCGTGGGCATGGCGCCCAGGACGCCCGGATTCTCCGGGCACCCCGTACCGTTCGGCAGCATTCTGACTGCCCGCGCCGACATGAACAAGACTCAGTCCGTGACCATCTGCCAGAACGGATGGGCACGGGCCACCACATTGATGTGGAGGAAACACCCAAACCGAACCCGCGAAGTTGGGACAGTGATTCTGGAGGTCCGCCTTGGCAGTTGTTCTGCCCACTTTGTGCCAGAATTCTCAACATAGGTTGTGCACCGGGGGTTGTGTCCGATGTGTTTTGGCAACAGTGTACGTTGAGTGTGGGATTGCAGAGGGCATTTGATCATTTGTGGTTTTCCCTTGCGTCAAGCACTTCGTGTTCGGCATTCAGGCCATGAAGAGTTCTCAGTTGTCGCGACGGGGATCGCCGATGTTGGTGATACGAATGTGTCTTGCGTCACCACGAGTTGCCGCAGTTTGTCCAGAACGGGGAGTGGAGGAAGGTGAGCGTTTGGGATTCGGCGGCGTGTCAGATGATATGATTCCCTCGTTTTTTCCAGTCTGGTCGAGGGACATGTCTTCCGAGCACGTTTGGCGTTTCTTCGATAAAGGTCGGCTGTGAAACCGCTCCTCAGGAGAGACAGATCGCATTAGTGACGCGCAGCCGCCGGGAGCCCTTCAGCGTGTGACTACTTTGTGATTGTCCGAAGGTTCGGTATTTATTTCGTCAACTGTCACACGCTGATGGATTCCCTACGGCGGCGTGCCATCGACACTGCTTTTGCTCCCCCAGCTCCATGGAGCCGTCGCGATGGGTTTCCTGGGGCGACGGATGCAGCCAGAGAGCTCTTGAGTTCCGTGTGCGGACCTGCTGGATGCCAGACCCCACCCCGATCTCGGGGCCCTTCGAAGAGGCAGTCGGACGATCTTACATGCAGCGGACTCCCTGGGAGTTGGCATTTTCGTGCAGTCTGGGAGTGTCTGGCGCCGTACGTGTACAGTCAGCAAGTGCGGCTCCGCGTGGCGCTCCGCCTGCTCTGGCCCACTGCGATTCGGGCGTGACACGGGATCCACGGCCCCATCCCCCAGCAGGGACGTTCCGAGTTTGTCCCAGCCTCCCGCCCCCACGGAGCGGAGCGACACGCTTTTCGCCTGCGCGGCGTTGCGTGCCGCAGAGGCCGCCACCGCGACACGGAAAGCAGAAGCCCCTGAGCGTATGATCGGGAGCTCGGTTCGCCCACGCACGGAACCGACAAAAAACACATGGAAGGGACGTCCGAGCGATGGCCAGTGGTGTAGTCGTGGTCGGAGATCGGCGCAGTCTGGCATCATCCCGTGCCGGTCCCGCTTTATCCGTCTGAAGCCGGCTTCATTCGGCGGTGGAGAGAACCCCCAACAGTGACACGTCGATTAGTGAATTGTCCGTTTCTGTTCTCGAGAGGGCGCCGCGGCCGTTATTTTCCAGGCTTGCGCCCGCCAGGTTTGGGCCTCGGGTCGTTTTCACTAAACCACGTTTTACTAAAGGGAGGTCTGTCCATCCCCGATAAATCTAGCTCAATCTTGGGCCAGGCCCAGTCCCAATTCGAAGACGAAAACCAGGCCCAGTCTCAATGCGAAGAAGAACAGCACCATCAGCATACATTGCCGTTTTTAACACATGTTCCGCGTGCGGATCATGTATTAGACATGCAGGGATTTTTGCATCAAAAGCAGCGACGAGTTCATGCATACATTTATTCATAAATTTGTCATGTATCAAAAATCCCATATTTTGAAAATCCCATGTATTAAACACTGCCCTGTAATCTGTTGGCGATCCGCGCGGACTTCTTGGGTCTGTGCCGGGGCCCCTTGGCGGCGTCTCCGGCGCCGCCCCTGGCGCGCTCCGCGCGCCCGGGAGGGGGAGCCCATCGCAGATCCAAGAAATCCGCGCGGTCCGTCGAAAGTTTGTTTTTATGTCTTTCTTCCTTCCTTTCTAGCAATCTGGGCTAATCTGGCTCCATGGCCCCTTCCTCAGGCTCATCAGCCCGGAAGCTCAAGCAGGCCCAGGATGAGGATACATGGCCCCAGGGCGTTGCGAAACGCATTCGGAGCGTTCCAGAACGCTTCGAAGTGGTCGCAGCGCCCGGTGCATCCTCCAGGCCAGCCGGTCTCAGAGTAGGAACAAGGAAAGGCGACACCAACACCAACGGAGCGAGGAGATGCTAGGAGCAAGGGGGGTCTCGCTGGTCGTGTGGTCCCCCCCTCTCGCTCGAGACATCCCCAGCCTCCAGCTCGGGCAGGCATCGTGGACCTCCTCGCTGCAGGTGGGCCCCCTAGCAGTATTAGTGTCGCATCTCCCCCCTCCGATCAGAGATCCCCGATGTATCATCATCCGGATTTGTCATCGTCATGCTTTTGTCCTGTCATCGTTCTTGCGAAGGTCTCCCAGGAGTTGCCTCCTGAAGAGCTCCCGGAGCTGGGATTAAGTCGGGCCCGTCCCTCTACAGTAGGACTATTCAACAATAGTCAAAAAAGTTTGTGGACTATTTTGTGAGTATTTTTGTTTGACCATTTTGGAGTATTTTTTGAGTAGCTGTTATTTTTTCGCCAAAAATCCCCCTGTAGGGGGACACGCCCGACTTAAAGCTGGGAGGCAAAGAGTCCACCCACGTGGTGTCCATGCGCTGGCGCCCCGAGTACGACCTCGGCGTGCGGGAGGTCATGGAGCCGCACTACGAGAAGATGCTGTTGGACTACGAGGCGGCCCCCGCGTCGAAGAAGAGGAGACGTCACAGGCAGAAACTCTGGCAGCTTCGCGTTTCGGAACTTTCGGAGCTTCGCAGGGTATTTCCTTCTTGCTCTTTTTCGTTTCGCCCTGCTCCTTCTGTGCGCTAATTTAGACCGCGGCATCGACGCTTCGTTCTGACGGCGCCCGGCGTCTTCTGGTGCGCTTGCGATCGAAAAGTACCCCCTGGATCGGCATTAGGACCCCGCTGGCGGCGTCCCCGGCGCCGCCCCCATCGGCGCTCCGCGCGCCAGGGAGTGTTTTTTGTTTTTTCTTTCGGCGCGGGCCCCAGGCGTCTTGGCGGGCCTCCACGGCACCACCCTTCGATGCTCGTTTTGGGGACCTTCCTGGGGCCATCGACTCCAGTTCGCCCCAAGTTCGATTCAAGTTCGACTCAGGTTCGACTCAGGTTCGATCCAGGCTCGACTCAGGTTCGACTCAGGTTCCATTGGAGCCGACGCACGTTCGACGCAGTTTCGACGCATGAGTGGAGCCAGAGGCTCCAAGAGGTTCCCCATAACGAACATTTAACCACCCGTCAAAACCCAAAGGCCCCTCTTTGTCCTCCATTCCCAGTGGAGGGGGGCGTCGGGGAACATCGAAAAAAAACGCACGGAACTCGCATCCCCCCCCTCCCTGAAGTTTGGGCCTTCGGGTTGGGTTGAGGTGGTCTGGCAGGTGGGCACCAAGTGTATGCGTTTGTGGGATGTTCTCTCCCTTCTCGAGGCGGGTCCTCGCAGCCGTTCGGTCGGGCAAGCACTGTTCGCCGACCGCTTTTCCTGATTCCTCCTGCGGCACGGAAGTGGCAGCGGCAGTTTGTTTGCGTGTTGATCGGTCCGGTTGCACCCCGTCCCCCCGGACTGTATTTTTTGCGTGACCCACGGGGCTCAGCACACCAAGGTCGATGCGCGTGCACAGGCGTGCGCTCGCGGCAGAATCGCAGCACGCATCTCATTGCGCAGTCTCCGCGCTGCTCTCTGCCGCCGGGCCGACTGCTGGATGGTTGCGCTCGTTCGTTCAGGTGTTGCTAGAAGTGCCCGTGGCCCAAGGTGCCCCCAGCTTTTCGCTCCCTTTTGGAGCCCCTGGGGCCCCTTGGGCCTCGTGAGGGGTGCTGTGGACGTCGTGGGGGCCTCCTGGGAAATCTTGGAGGCACCTTGGGCCAGGGGCACTTTTAGCAACACCCAGCTCGTGCCTCTCGCCCAAGGGCCTCAGGAGCTGAGCAGCCGCCCGATTCAGCCACGCGCAGAGGGGGGGGTGGGGGGGGGCTTCTTAGAAACACCCCTGCTTCTTAGAAGGCGCGGGCCCTGCCTCCAGATGCAAGGCCGGCGCCTTCCAAAACGCAACCTCCTTCTAAAAAATCTTCCCCCTCACTCCACCCTTTGTGCGTGCCAGATGAAGTCATATGACAACTAGACCCGCGGTGCAAGGACTGACGAGGAACGCAATGGCGAGCGTGAGAACCTGACCTGACCCAGCCAGACCTGTCCACAGAGTTTGTTTGGGAGAGCCGCGCGGAAAACTGCCACGGAACTCCGAGAACTGGCGTCGTCGTGCCAGCCGACGGCGGGAGCTCTAGCCTCTCGAGGCCTTTGTCCGGGAGGAGGGGCGCGGTGTCCGCGCAGGATCGCAGCGGCTCTTTGCGGGGGGGGGGCCATAGGCCCAGGAGGGCTGCCCGGTGTGGGACCCCCCCGCCGTTCCTCGCAGGCACGGGCACCACGCCGTGCACCCGGGAGGGCGCTGGGGGCGGCAACGAGGGGGGTGATAGCTAGGGAGGGCGGGAGGGAGGGAGGGAGGGAGGGAGGGAGGGAGGGATGGAGGGAGGGAGGAGGAGGAGGAGGAGGAGGAGGAGGAGAAGAGGGGTGATGACTAGGGGGGTGATGACTAGGGGGGTGATGCCTCCTCGCAGGCAGGGACACAACGCCGTGCACCCGGGAGGACGCACAGGCAAAGGCAGAACGAGTTGTGCCCATGAGCGCGATCGTGAGGGAGCGGGAAATATGCACCGACTCGCGTGCCTGCCATAGCCGAGGAGAGGGGGGAGGGGGAGGGGAGGCGGTGGAGGGGGAGGGGAGAGGGGAGGGCAAGCATACAAACGCACCGCGGCGGGAGGTGTTCGCAGAGTCTCGGCCTCCGGGGTCACTCCGCTGGGGATCTGCTGGGGAGGACAAGCCCGTCCCGGGGAAGGCGTCGGGACCTCCTGGGCGCGACGCTGCGAATGAGAGTGCGACGCTGGAGATCTCGGGGACGGTACTGGAGGCCAGGCCAGCAGGGTCTCGATATTCCAGCTCGCCGTGCCTGGCTGGAGGCACACGTTGTGATGGCCAGACCGTGCAGAGCTGCCCTCTGCTGATACTGTGACCCATGTTTGCTGGCCTACTCTGTGGATCCCTGCCAGCTCGCTTGGCCGTCAGCCCCTGCGCTGGCGTGCTCGCCCCTCTCGGTCGGGCGCCCGGGAGCGACTTGCTCGACGCAACTGGGTCCGCATCGGAGGCGCTGATCAGGATGGGAGCGATTTGGAGGGGGGGGTTATCCCTACTCCTCCTCCTCCTCCTTCTCCTCCTCCTCCTCCTTCTCCTCCTCTACGTTCAATACAAGCTCTAAGTCCGGATAATAAAGTATACCCCCCTTAACGCCTGAGTGGTTATTATTCCTGGGTCAGACAAATTTGATTGTGGAGTGGGGCGGCGAGGCCGAACTTGATTATCGCGGGGGGAAGTTGCGAATCGGCATTGCTATCTTCTTATGTTGACTAGGAGCGCCAAGGATCTCTCCTGCGCAGGCCACCTTCAGGCGGGAGACTCGAGGACACCCAGGACAGTTTTGTGCGAGGATCTAGTTACACGAGCGCCCATCGTTATCGTCATCATCATCATCATCATCATCATCATCATCATCATAATCATCTTTATCATCATCATCATCATCATCATCATCATCATCATTATCATCATCATCATCACCATCATCATCATCATCATTACCATCATCATCATCATCATCATCATCATCATCATCATCATCATCATTATCATTATCATCTTCATCATTATCATCATCATCGTGACCATCATCCTCCGCCGGGAAATTATCCCCCCCAGACCCCGAATTCTATTATTCCCAGGGGTGTAATATCACAGGTAGTCGGTGAAGCAAGAAGACCACCTCTCCCAGGGCGTCGGGTCTTTCGCCCATGCCCATCACTCATGCCCAACACTGTCCGGCGCTCCGAGACATTCTCGCAGGCGCTCTTCGAGATGGGTGGATCGTCGCCTTCTCTCCCCCCTCCTCCCAGAGTCTATCCCAGCACGATCGCTCCGATTCGACATCAATACTGGCCGGCCCGATCCGATTCGCTTCCGATTTTCGCTCGGTGCGATTCTGCGGGACGCTTGCACGGCGCTGTTGTGCGTTGCTGGCGCGGCCGGCCCGATTCGATTCCGACTCCGTGCCGACGCGGCCCGATCCGGCTCGTACCCCGCTTCGATCCGATTGACCCGATTCGACGTTGGCTGATGCTGGCTCCCTGTACTCCAACCCCCTGGCGTGGGAAGCCCGGATGTGGATGAGCGTGTTTCTGTTCTCGTCCGTCAGCCCTCCTCATCGCGGAATGCTTCCGCGTCTGAGCGCCTTCCTCCTCCTCCCTCCTCGCGGTCGCCCTCTTCTCCTCCTTCCCGTCTGCTTGCACGCCGGACAATTTGCCCATCGGTGCCCCCGATTCGCCCGACGCTGGTGCGGATCTTCTCCGCCTCGCCTCCGCCTCGCCGCCGACGGACAACAAGTTTCTCTTCTCGTCAGGCCCGTGGGCTGGCAGGTATGCAGGCATATATCCGTAGACACGCTACTGCCGATGCAGGTAACGGCGATGTAGGTTTCGGCATTGTGAGAACGCGCGGTTCGTGCTTTCCCAGAATTCGTTGTGTCGTTTTCGTCCGATACATCCGCGTATTGGGAGTGTAGGAGAGTGTGGTTCGTGATTTCCAACACTTCGGTTCCCAACATCACCGTCATGCGACATCGCCGTTAGCGTGGCCTTCGTATCTCCCCGTGGGGGAGGCGTCGGCGCTCTCGCCGCCGTGGGCGGCCTCGGCCGGTCGCCGCTCTTCCTCGGGAGGTGTTCGCCGGGGTGACGCTGATGCGCATGACGCTGAACCACGTGCACACGCTGATCAACGACTGCGCGAAGTGCGGGGGCGGGGGCGGGCCAGATATCCCAGACGTCCTCGCGTCGTGACAAGAGTCAGGACGGGAGCTGCTTCGCTATGTTCGGCCTCCAGGGGCCCGCGCCGGGCCTCGGGGCTGTCAGAAAACGAGTCAGGATGAAGAACCACGCCCCTGAGGATGAGGGAGTTCAAGCTCCTGGGGGTCACGTCATGAAACAAAATCACGACGTCGGGGGTCTGGGATCACAGGAGGATCGTGTCGGACGGGGCCAGGACGAGGACAGCGCCGCTCCAGAGCGTTCTGGAAGGCTCTCAGAGCGTGCTCGAACACTCGGAGAAGGGCGCGACGCCCGAGACATTCTCCGGAGCCGCCGGATCTCGGAGATGCGCGATTTCTCTCTCTCTCTCTCTCTCTCTCTCTCTCTCTCTCTCCCTCTCGAAGAAGAAGATTAATAAGAAACACATAAACATAAAATGTTGGCGCTCCGCGCGGATTTCTTGGATCCGCGCCTGCAGGCCCCGCCGGCGGCGCCTCTGACGCCGCCCCTGGCGCGATCCGCGCGCGAGGGAGGGGGGTCCAGCGCCGATTCAAGAAATCCGCGCGGAGCGCCAACAGTTTACGTTTATGTGGTGTTTTTCTTTTCTATTCTCTTTACCCGATGTTGTCCTCCAACGCTCTGCGACGGGGGGGAGCGCCGCCGAAGCAGCTCTGGACCTCATGGTAGGCTGCCTGCCAAAGCAAGCGCGCCTCCACAATGGTTTAGACATTTGCTTTCAAATTGTTTAGTCGTAGTGTTGGTTGCAACATATGTGATGCTGCCTGGAATGCTCAGCGTATTTGTCGTGATGCTGGTTGCAACATATGTAATTTGGACACCCTTTTTCAGCGGAAGCCTGGGAAGCAGTGCGCAAGGATACTGTCTAGCGCACGCTCGTGCACTTGCTCATGTGCCTACGGACACGTGGCTTCATTCGCTCATTCTTCGAATTGCCTCGACCAGCCTGCCAGGGTCCCCTGGTGGGTGGGTCCCCTGGTGGGTGGCAGAGATGCTGCGCCCCTCGGGACTTCCAGGAGGAGGAGGAGGAGGGAAAGATTGCGATACGCGGCGCTACTGGCATGGGTTCGGAAGGGATGAGCACAACGACCGACAGCAGTCCTTGTCCAATTTGAACAGGATTCGCGATTGGCGTCGCCGCGGGCGTTGTCCATTGGAGACAGGCCGCCTTCTCAACAACGGGCGCGGCTGGTGTCGGACAACATTCATTGTTGGACATCGTGCGCAGTTGTTCCGTGCCCACTGCGGGCGTCCAAGGGTACCGTTCACGATCATCCGTCACAACGGCTGGATTCGCCTCGAAAGCCCAGGCGGAATCAAGCCCAGGCGAGGTCTGTGGAGTGGCGGTATGGGCATGTCTGCTGTTTCCCCACAACAGCGAATCTTCTGCTGCTGCGGCTCGGTAAGAGTCAGCCACGCGCAGAGGGGAGCCGGGGGAGGGGGGAGGGCTTCTCGGAAGCACCCCTGCTTCTTAGAAGGCGTGGGCCTTATCTATAGGTATAAGGCCAGCGCCTTCTAAGAAGCAGCCTCCTAAGAAGCCCTCCCCCTTCCCTCCACCTCCTTGTGCGCCGCATAAAGAGGCCCGGACCCGACAATTGGCGTTTACCAGACTGCCCCAGGCGTTTACTAAACAGCCCTGCCCTGTTTGATTCCTCCCATGGGTGCGTTTACTAACGGCTTCGCGCGTCGGGGTGGTTCCTATCGGGGTGGATTTTCTGCCTTCTACTGTTCCCCCACAGCGGCGAATCTTCTGCTGCTGCGGCTCGGTAAGAGATCTGCACGAGCGAAACAGGCACGGAAAGAATGGGCACAATGCCCAACAGCGGATCCTGTTCATCTTGAACAGGACTCGCTCTTCACGCCGCCGCGGCCGGTGTCCGTTCGAGACAGGAGGCCGCCTGTCCAACAGCGGCCGCTGTTGGTTTGGGGCAACATTTGCTGCTGGGCATTGTACCCATTTTTCCGTACCCATTTCGGGCGTCCAAATCGTTCGACTGCACGTAAGATCAGGAGGGAAAAAAAACCTGCAGACAAGAGTAATCGTCGATCCCCAGGAAAAGATGCAGAAATATAGGAAGTGGGGGGTCAGGCGGAATTTTTTCATATATATATATATATATATATGTATATCTATATATATATTATATATATATATATATATATATATATATATATATATATATATATATTCACATATGGTGAATCCTGTCAGTTGTCTGTATTTTTTGTGGTGGTCCAGCGCCGATCCGAGAAATCCGCGCGGACCTCCGAGTGTTTATGTTTATGCCACTTTTGGTTCCCCCATTGAGGGTCGACGTCGCGAAAAATCCCGACGTGGGCTGGGGCGTTCTGGGCAGCCTGCTCGTCTGCACCGCGAGTGGGGGCGGTTCTCGGGCCCCGTCCCGGCAGAGGCACCCTTTCGAGAGCCGCTCGGGCGCGTCGGGGCCCTTTCAAGACCCGGCGTCCCCCCCGAGGGGCCGCGCACCAGAGGGCACCTCCTTGCCCATGGGGGGTCGCTCCTGCGCGTGGCCGGCTCGTCGGTGCGGGCGCCCCGTCGGCGGCCCCGGAAGCCTGCGCAGCCTGGCCTGAAGGCGGGCCGGTCCCCCTGCAGGAGGGAAGTTCAAAAACAGTCACCTGATAGTCTGGGGGCGATTGTTTGACTATGTTTGATTATGTTATGGGCATTTCGGAGGTATGTTTTTATTGTTCGTCCAAAAACCCCCTGTAGGGGGACACGCCCGACTTGACCTAGTCTCAAGTCCAGCCTGTCCCTCTGCAGGAAAAAGGTTCCCAAATAGTGGAAGAAATCGTCCGGATACAATGTTCTGGCCATGTTTTGGCACTTTTGGGTGTATTTTTTGGGGGGGTATTTTTCTTATGCTTCGCCCCAAAATCCCCCTGTAGGGGGAGAGGCCCGACCTGAACCTAGTCTGCGCCACACAGCTTGCACCGCCTGGACTTCCTGGCCAAAAGGAAATCGCCCCCGCCCCAGGACTCATGCCCGCTGTTTCGCATGGCGCTTTACGTCTGAGTCTGCTGCATCGCTCCTTGCCCATATGAGCTCATACTTCATTGCCAGAGATCGCCCCCCTTTCACCACTGTTGAGTTATATGATGTGCGCGCTCTCGATTTTCTCAAAAGGTACGTTGCCAATAGGTTATTGCGAAATAGTTGCGCAGCATCCACACGCGCGCGCACATGTCGAAGCCATAACAAACACATCAATTTTGCAAGCCATGCTTTCCAATGCTGCAATACCCGTTTTAGGGATTCCATTGCAAGTATTGCAGATCTCCTCCCCGTGCGCATTTGCTGAGATCATGTGAAAACTAAGTGCTTTTGGCCGTTTCGTCCAGAACCCGCATTATCATCTCACCGCACAGTGCATTGGCGTTGATCTAGCATGCGCCCAGTGCGCGAATCTGTATCAAACCATGCACAGCGGGCCAAAGCTTGATTCGCCACGCACGGGTGTCGAAATCCGTCCCAAACCATTGGTAGTCGAAGCATTTCAAGACAGAGTTGTTAAACAAACTAGCCTGGCGAACGACTCGTCCATATGCAGTTCGCCTAATTGGGCCACGAAGCGTGTGATGGGTGTGCCGAATGAGAGGTGGGGACGCATGCAAACATCGTTATTGGGGCCTTCGGTCGGGCTCCCAATGAGGCCACGAAACGTTTGAGAGGTGTGCCGAACTGGACGAGGGGACCGCATGCGAGCACTGCCGCTGAAGCCTTCGGTGGAGCTCCCAATGGGGCCACGACACGTGCGAGGGGTGTGCCGAAATTGGTGCAGGACCGCATGCGAGCATTGTCGCAAGGGCCTTTGGTGGAGCTCACTGTGGGGGCACGAAACGTGAGAGGGGTGTGCCGACGTGTATGTGTGTGTGATTGTGGGTATGTGTGTGTGCGCGCGCGCGTGTGTGTGTGTGTGTGTGTGTGTTGTGTGTGTATGTGTGTGTGTCGGGGTGGGGGGGGGTCGGAAGGGCATGCGAAAACCGCCACTAGAGCCCTTCGGTGGAACTCCCTATGGGGACAAAAAAGCTTGTGATGGATGTGCCGAATTGTGCGGGGGCGACGCATGCGAACGCTGCCACTGGGGCCTCCGGTGGGGCTGGGCCGCGAAACGTGTACGGGGTGTTCCAGAATGGGCGAGAGGGACGCTCGCGAACTCCACCGTTGGGGCCTCTGGTGGAGCTCCCTGTGAGGCCACGAGGCGTGTGAGGGGTGTGCCGACATACGTGCGGGGACCGCGTGCGAACATCGCCATTGAGGCGTTCGGTCAAGCTCCTCATGGGGCCGCGGGGCGTGTGGGGGATGTGCCGACATGGGCGCGGGGGCCGCATGTGGGCACTGCCGCTGGGACTTCCGGCGGAGCTCCCTACGGGGCCACGAAGCGCGTGATGGGTCGGGGGCGGAAAAGAGGGGGGTGATGACTAGGGGGGGTGGATATCATGGCGTGGGCCATGATATTTTTTCATGGCGCCTCTTCTTATTTCATTACGTCCTTGGCCCCCCCGCTGGGCCGCGCACATGCCGCCGGTCATGATTTGCACCCTCCCCTCTTGGACACCCCCTTCTTGGCCGCTCCAGAATGGGGTGCGCCGAAATGGACGTGCGGAGGGCAGGGGCATGATGGGGAGGCGGGAGAGAAGATGCGAGGAGAGGACGCGCGGCGCGGTCTCTGCAAACCGAAGACCCAGCACAGCAGGATGGTTGATAGCCAAATTTTGCTCATCCGGAAGTCTGCCAGGTGTCTTAGATTTCTGCGCGCGCACTTCCTCGTTATCACCCCCATCAGCGGCATTGCATCACCGCCGTTAGCATCATCGTCGATCGCCGCCATGTCAGCCATCATCAGTCAATCTTCTTCACCACCGACACATGACATCGTTGTAGTCATCGTCGTCAATAGTATCGGCGCCGTCATTGGCCTTGCCGTCGTGATCGCCATATTCGCCACCACCATCGCTAATATCATCATCCTTGTCGCCGTTGTCGACGTCATCATGATCTCGCTTCCGCCCGAGTCGCCGACCCGCGCTGAAGTGATCGCGCGCCAGCGTGGCCTCTGAGACGTGCTAGGAAGATCCCAGCGGCAAGCGCCATCGCGGCCGCCTCAGTTGTGTTATCGCAGTTGGCCGCTCCTGCGGGCGTCCCTGCGCGCGCCAGCGCGGCCGCAGAGATGCTCCAGCCAGGGCCAAGCAGTCGCCGCAATTACGACCGCAGGGGTTGTGCAGTGCAGAGATGCGGGTGGGAGGATGGGATGTGCGCGCGGGCAGTAGGACAGAAGATTTCGAGGCTTCCATGTGTCATTGCACCGCGCACGTTGCACCACATTTTTTTAACCGCGTAACTTTCACGACGCAGCTGACACCATGTGACTCATACCACTTAGACCAGACTTCATAGTTTGACCAACACATTAGCGCACCGCATAGTGTACACCACCTTGCTTACACATAGCTGGCACCACATAACGTACAGCACTTACGTGGCACCAGATAGCTCACACTGCATTGCACCACAGAGCTTGCAGAACGCAGCCTCCGCCACCTACACTGTACCACATACGCGGCACATCCATTGTGCAAGGACAGATCGTTTTGTGTCCACGCTGGCAAACACCTCGTCCCACAACAGGGGTGGCTCGCGGGTGGGTCGCCGGGCGGGTCGCGGTCGGGTCGTGGGCGAGGACGGCGGCAAGAACAGCAGCGGCAGTCTCCACTGCGGAATTTCCCCCGATACAAGACCGCATGGCTCACACGCGATCTGCTGCACGAGCTCCCGTCGCTGGCGTTCCGCAGCGCTCGTTGGTGCCGTGCCCTTCCGGTGGCCCCAGAAGGGTCCGCGGGGCATTTTTGAGAGAGCGCGCTCCAACAGAGATACCAGCCCGGCCGCGGCGGTGTGTGCTGAGAGGTGGAGGTCCAGGCCCTGCCCGCACAGAAGGTCTGGGGGCCCACGCCGGTCTGCCTGGGATGCAGATCCGGAACGCAGACCCCCGACGTCATGGTTTTCTCATGACGTCGACCCCCCAAAGGTCTCGACCCATTCCCCGGGACCGGTGTTTCGTCCCGGGTCGTGTTTTGTCGGTCCCGAGGGCCGGGAAGGGCCCCCAAAGGCCAAATATTAGGAAAAACCTCCCCTCGCGATTTTGTCTGGCCTCGCGGAGCGCCCAGGCACACCCACCTCTCTCTTCGCAGCTGTTTTGAGAGAATTGTTCAGTGTCTCTTTGCAGCTGCGATTTTTTACTCGCTGCAGTGCCCGCTGTTGCCGCGAGAAGTCATGGAAGCGGTGAGACCTGTCGAGGTCAACAAAAAACAAGCCCTCGCGATTTTGTCATAACTCGAGGGGGTCTGGGAGCGCAGGGTCGCGGAGCGCGGGCGAGCCCCCTTCGGGGGAGCCTTCCGCCCGCGGCGGTGCGGTGCCGCATGCTGGGCCTCCGGGGGCCTCCGGCGTGTGCTGCCGCGCGGTCGGGCCTCCGGCGAGGGCCTCCCTGGCGCGGCCCCGGGCCCCCTCCGCCTCCATTTCCTCCGCCTCCTCCTCCTCCTCCTCCGCCTCCTCCTCCTCCTGCTCCTCCTTTTCCTCCTTCTCTTCCTCCTCTTCCTCCTCTTCCTCCTCCTCCTCCTCCTCGTCCTCCTCCTCCTCCTCGTCCTCCTCCTCCTCCTCCTCCTCCTCCTCCTCCTTTCTCTGGCCGGCAGGCTCTCGCAGCACCCGGAGATCCAGCGCATTGAACAACAAGCAAGACGGAGGTTTTTCGGAAGGGTTCCCTTCGGGGAGCATCCGTTAAAATTGGAACGATACAGAGAAGATCAGCATGGCCCCTGCGCAAGGATGACACGCACAAATCGAGAAGTGTGTGTGTATATATATATATATATATATAAACAAAAAAAGAGACGGAGGTTTTTTCGGAAGTTTCGGCCCCCAGGGGCCCTCGCCGGGCCTCGGGGCCGTCAGAAGCCGACTCAGGACGACGAGCCGGTCCTGGGGAACGGATCGAGACTTCCAGGGACCGCGCATGGAAAAAGTCACGACATCGGATCTCTGGGTACTCTTGCATTCCAGGCGGTGCTTCGTAGAAGGGCGACGGGGACAGAAAGCACACGCCAGCCCCACAGTGGTCTTCCGACTCGGTCGCGCCCTTCCTCCAGTTCTCTCCGAGGCCCAGGTCTGGGTGACGAAATGCTGGCGCATCGCGAGCGGGGGTGCGGTGCATCAGTCCAACGTTAAGTTGGGCTTGTCCCTCTACAGGGGGGACGTTCAAAAATAGTCTAAAAATAGTTTGGGGACGCTTCTTTGATTAATTTTTTGTGCGTTTTTGAAACATTTTCTGACTACGTTTAATAGTTCGTCCAAGTTCCCCCTGTATGGGGGACAGGCCCGACCCAAGTCTAACGCTGACTTCGATGGGCCCAAGTCCTGCCAGAGGCCGCCAGCACGGCCTGGTCTTGGCATGCCGGATAGCCAGAATGTCTTCGAGTTTCGAGCGGGCTTCCCAGCATGCGGTATTGGTCAGGAGGGAAAAGAACACACAGACACAATTAATCGTCGATCCCCCAAAAATATTAGAAAATATGGGAAGTGGGGGGGAAGGCAAAAACAGAGGAAATATCGGAAAATATTGGGAATCCTGTTATTTGTATGTATTTTTTTGTGTGTCCCAGGGCCCCTTCAATTGGACAGAACCCCCACCCTGACACGTCGATTAGTGAATTTTCTGTTTTCGGTTCTCCAGAGGGAGCCGCGGCCGCCATTTTCCAGGCTTGCGCCCGCCAGGTTCGGGCCCGAGGCCGTTTACACTGAGCCACGCTTTAAGAAAGGGGGTTCTGTCCATCCCCGAAGCATGCCGACGTCGCCATGTTTTTTTGTTTCACCATGTGCCCCCCCGAGGTCTGGAACCCTGATCCCTGGGACCGCAGGTTCATCCGGAGTCATGCTTGGCGGTCCATGGGCCCGGTAGGATTCAGTCGGGCCTGTCCCTCTACAGGGGGAGTACTCCAAAATAGTCAAAAAGATAGTCTGGGGACGATGTTTCTAAGTATCTTCGAGCATCTTGGGGTGCATGTTTGGGGTATGTTTCATTTTTCGTCCGAAATCTGTCTGTAGTAGGGGGACATGCCCGACCTGACGGTAGAAAGGCCCCTGGAGGCTGGCAATCTGGCACCCCTTCCCCGTCGCGAGACTCTTGCCGCAGCGAGGAGCTGGGGACCCGCTCGAGCGCATCGCCCCCCCGGGCTCGCTCGAAGAGTCGCGATCCTCCGGCCCTCCCTCCGAGGCCTCGAGCGCGGGAGCAGGCTCGCAGGTCAGCAACCGTAGGGGGGGGGGGGGTAGATGAGATGGAGAATCAGATGAGGAGGAGGAGGAGGAGGAGGAGGAGGAGGAGGAGAGGAGGAGGAGGAGGAGGAGGAGGAGGACGAGGCCTCGAGGTGGAGGAATAGGAGGAGGGATGGGGCGGAGGCCGACAGCCTGGCAGCACTCTCCCGTCGTCAGATTTCTGCCGCAGCCGAGGCGAGGCGGGCCTCCGAGCTCGAGGTGCGCCGCCCCCCCCCCCCCGAGGCGTCGCGCGAGGCACCGCGGCGGCGGAGGAGGTCGCTCTCTGCTCCCCGGCGGTGCCCTCCTGCCGGGAGCGAGGGGCAAAGCGTTGAGGCGGGCCCCGTCCCTCTTCCCAGACCTCCTGGCGTCGTGAAAGAATCACGACGGGAGGTTTTTCGTTATTTTCTGCCTCCGGGGGCCCTCACCGGGCCTCGGGACCGTCAAAAAATGACTCGGGATGCAAAGCCGGTCCCGGGGAAGGGGTCCAGACCTTTGGGGGTCGACGTTGTGAAAAAATCACGACGTCGGGGGTCTGGGTTTGCGGGAGGGATATGCAGACATCGTATAACAATAGCCTGGGGACGATCATTTTTTGCCAGCCTCGAACGTATCCCTATCCCTAGGATTGACACGCCAAAAGGCGATGACAATCTTAGGGATTCGCCCTCAGAAAATAAGGGAATCCCTAAGATCAGCATCGTGATGAGGAGGTGCCCAGCATAGGGATAGGGATATGTGCCAGGCTGGTAAAGTTTGGGTATGTTATGACCATTGTGGAGTATCTGTTGTGGACCATCTTTTACGTTTCGTCCAACATCTGGGGGACGTGCCCGACCAGAGCGGAGCGGAGGTGGGGCACCTGCACGCTGGGGCGCTGGATGCTGGAGCGCAACCAGCTGCAGCCGCGCGTCATGGTCCTCGGGGGGCGGCCGCATCCTTCCCCCGAGTCGGCGGCTTCGGTCGCGAGTCGTGGGGGGCTGGCGTGCCCTCTGCATTCCGTCTTTCGCGTCGATGAGCGTCGACTGGCGTCTGGGAGCCGACGAGATGTGCCGAGGTAGCGTCGATTGGCGTCGATCTAGTGTCGACTAGCGTCGACCAGCGTCGATCCGCAGGAGCCGACAAGCTGGTATGGGAGGCTCTCGTGAGTTGCCACCGACCGCGGCGAGACCTGAACCCTGCCCTCGCCGATCCACGAGGCAGGTAACGCGAGAGCGGACTTCGTCGAGCCTGTGGCGACGTCCGAACCAGGCGACCCCTGCCTCCCATCGGCTCCGAAGGACAGACGCCCGCCTCCCAGCCGAACCAGGCGACCCCCTCTCCCAGGCGACCCCTGCCTTCCCCGCCTCCCCTGCCCCGTCAGCAGGAGGACGCCCCCGCCTCCAATCGACACAGGCGAAGCGAGGGTTGGTTGGGGGGGGAGAGGGGCCTCAGAGGCCGCCACCAGCCGAGGCTGCGCTCCCACACCTCCTCCTCCTCCTCCTACTCCTCCTCCTCCTCCTCTTCCTCCTCCTCCTCCTCCTCCTCCTCCTCCTCCTCCTCCTCAACCTCAGCGGGTCGGACGGCTTGGGAAAATGCTCGGCTTCCGCCGGGGGCCTCACTGGGCCCCGGGGCCATCCACACGTGGCCCGGGATCGGCGCGCCTCGGGCAGTGGGCTCCAGACCTTTGGGGGTGTCCACGCCGGGAGAGGAGCGCGACGTCGAAGTTGTGTGTCGCCCTCCCAGAAGCCCGCTGTGCAGTCCAGGCCTCCCAAATGGGGTGCAGGGACCGGGCAGGTGGGGTCGGAAGATCGCGCCGCAGCTCCGATGCATCGGCGACGCGGCTCGTCATGGAGCCAGGTTTTCCCCACACCGACGTTGGGATGCATCGGCGCGGCAGACGGCGCCGATGCATACCCCGTGCGTTGGGGATGCATCGGAGAGGCAGTAAGGATGCGCCGCGATCCTCCGACTACGGTAGGGTCACGTTGTGTCGGCCGTGCCACCCCGCAACGCTGAGCGCCGCTGGCGACCCAGAATCGGTCGATGTTGAACGATCTTACGTTTTGGGAACGGCCAATCGTACAGGGTTGAACGATCCGCGCGGTTGTCAGGAACCAACGCGGGGGTCGACACGACACGACCTTGCAGTACATGTACTCAGGCCCCTTTGGGAGGCCCCCAAGAGAGAGAGGGCAGAGGGGTGAGCGATCGAATCTTCACAAAAACAGTTAAAACCATATATCTGGAACTTCGTTGCTCTGATACGCACGTTTTGAATCGTAACATGTGCCGTGTTCAAAACGTCCGTGTTCAAAACGTACGGGTTCAGTCTGCGTGTTGAGTTCCGTATCAGTGCGCTACGTGTTGCGTATCGGGGCAGCTAAGATCTGGAAATTCGCCATCTGGGGAGTACCCATAGAGTGGTGCTGAGGATGTGCCCTGCACGGGTGTGCAGGCTGGGGCCTGCACTGACACCCTTGGGATCGCTCGAGCCGAACCTGGGGCGCACGAGCGCGGTAGATCGCAGAAGAACGAACGCAGAGAACGTGGGGCGCACGCGCGCGGCAGACCGTATTCTCGGGCGGGTGGTAATGGGAGGTGGCCCACATGGGGGGTGAAGAAATGTGCCCAAGCATTTGGGCCTCCCCCCATGAGCACCCGCCCGAGAATGCAGGAATGCGTTTGCGGGGACCTCGGGAACGCCGGCCAGGAACGCCAGATTTTCTCTTGAGCGCAGAGGAAAGGAGTCGCACTCTTCTGGCACGGACATTCTCCCTTCTCTTCCCCCTTCTCCTGCGTGCGAGTGTTGCCCGCACCTGGTCCACGACGGAGCGGGGATGAGACCTCAACATGCGTGCGAAGGTGGTGTTCGCATCGCCACGTCTTTCAAATGCGTGTACCCGTGCGCTTGCTCCGAAGTGCAACATCGGGAAATGTGCATATTCCGTGTGGGCTGTGATGTCCGGTCCCACCTTCCCCCTCCAACACAAAAAACGTGGGGGGCTGCGAGAAGGTCGTGCACGTAGACCAGACCGCCTACGCGTACGGTGTGGTCGCCGAGGCCACGCGGGGGGGAGGGTTCCGTTGCCTGCCCAGCCAGGCGGGAGCCCCTGTTGCGCAGGTCTGTTGTCTATGCTTTGGAAGTTGTCCTTGCGCGAGCGATCTCTCGTCAATCAGCTGTGCTCGCTGCCATGCCGAATCGTTCTCTGACCCCCGTCTCCCTTCTTCGTGGGGGGCAGAGGGGAGGGAGGGGAGAGGGGGAGGGGGAAGGAGAGGGGGAGGGAGGGGAGAGGGAGAGGAGAACGGGAGAGGGGGAGGGAGGGGGAAGGGAGAGGGGGAGGGAGGGGAAGGGGACGGAGGGAGGGGGAGGGAGATGAGGCCATCCTTGTTAGCCTGTTGCTGCCGCCCCCCCCTCCCCATCCGGAGGCCTCCCGCCGTTTCCAGCCAGAGGGAGGGAGCTCCACGAGATCCACCCCTGCCCCTGCTTTCGGGGGGAGGGAGGGAGGGGGGGGAGATCGGGCAACGCCAGGGGCAGAACCTCTCTCCTCCCGCAGCACTCCTTCTCTCGGAAGGCCTCCGGCCTCCCGGAGCAGCTTCCTCGGCCTCCTCCGGAGACACACGGCTTCTCCTCCGCAGGCCCGGGGAGCTCCTGAGGAGCCCCATGCTGCCCTCCGAGACGGCCTGCCCCCCCCCTTCCTCTCGCCCCCCCCCCCCCCGCGCGCCGCCGAGCCTGGGCAGACGCACGTGCAACTCCTCTACTGTTAAGTCGGGCGTGTTCCCCTACAGGGGGATTGTCGACAATAAACAAAAGATACTCCAAAAAAAACCCAAGGGGGTAAAAAAGATTGAAAAATTGTCCCCAGACGATGTTGGGACTATTTTTTTATATTATTTTTGTTGTATTTTTCATTTGTCGTCGAACATTCCCCTGTAGGAGGACAGGCCCGACTTAACTCCACCGGCAGGCGCCCCCGCGCCGGTGAGAGAGTCCTTGCCCGCGGTGCCTGCGCGGGCGCCGCGGAGGCTCCTGCGCCGCGCGCGGGCACCCTGCGCGTGCGCACTCGCGCCCGCGGGGCTCATGCGCCCTGCCGCGCGCCCAGCAGGAAGCAGCAGCGAGGCCTGCGGTGCCGTATGATGTTCCGGCCTGCTTTCTGGCCCGAAGCACCAGGGAGAGTTTCGAGCGCCAAGACAGCGCCGAGCCTCGAAGGTTTTCGCGTCCTGGGCCCTGGGAGACACTCGCTCGACACTGTATGTCGACACTGCTTCGACACCGTTTCCACGCGTTTCCGGGTGCTCGAGGTTATTTATGGGCCGTGGTCCTGAAGTACGGTGGGAGCAACATCCCTCCACCTCCATCTTCCATACGTTTCGACCTCTGCGGAAGGCGCGGAAGGTGATGCATTGAAACTACTGAAGGCCTCGGGAGGCGCAAGAAAATTCAGCGTTTCACGGAGCGCAGGAGTGTGGAAGGTCAGTACGGACGGTCTGGAAGAATGAGGGCGAGGGATAAGCGGTCCCTCCGCCATGGCCACGATGCTGGCGCCGGCGCCCCCGTGGCGCCTGCGCCGCGCCGTGCGCGGCGCCCGCGCCGGCGCGGCGCTGTGCCCGCGGCCGCCCGCTTTCAGCAAGCGATGCCCGGGCCATGCGTGCACCCCGTCCCTGATAGGCCCATGTTCCACCACCACTGCCATATGTAGGAGAGGGAGGAGGAGGAGGAGGAGGAGGAGGAGGAGGAGGAGGAGGAGGAGGAGGAGGAGGGAGGAGGACCCCTCCCCCTCCAGCTCATGGTGGTGGTGGTGGTGGTGGTGGTGGTAGAAAACCGCCCCCTCAGTCCCGCGACGCGGCGGCAGCGCCTGTGCGCTGGCATCGTGCGAGGGCCTGCGCCATCGGGGCACGCCGCCCGCGCCGCCGGCGCGCGGCGCGGCCGCGCCTAAGCTGGGAGGAGAGCGGGTGGAGCCCGCTGCCATAGGAGGAGGGGGAGGAGGAGGAGGAGGAGGAGGAGGAGGAGGAGGAGGAGATGAGGAGGAGGAGGAGGTGGAGGAGGAGCAGGAGGAGGAGGAGGAGGAGGAGCAGGAGGAGGATGAGGAGGAGGAGGAGGAGGGGGGGGCGGAGGAGGAGGGGGCGGAGGAGGAGGAGGAGGAGGAGGAGGAGGAGGAGGAGGAGGAGGGAGGAGGAGAGCTTGGCTGTCGTCGTGGCGGTTACGGCGGTGACGGCTGTCTCGATGGCGTCGCGCTCGCGGCCACGAGGCGCGGTCTTGTGTTTTCCCCCACCAGTGCGGTGTCCTCGCTGTGCCTGGCTCATACAGTGGGGGCGCGCAGCAAGGAACCATGTGCCTTTCGTCAGGGCATCCTGGGCTTCTTCGCTCCCCGCGCTGCGCGGTGGCTTCCCGCAGCCGTTGAAGGAGCTGTTGCGTTGGGGTGCAGCTCGCGCACGGGTTCTCAGGGTTGGGTTTCTTGCGAGGGTTTCTTGCGGCCGCGCCCGCACTGTACTCATGAGAAGAGAATGTGCCTGTTGTACCTTGCTTCGGTTGTTGGATTTGCATGTGGGGGGTACTCCAGACAGCTAAACTTGCGTCAAGCCGAAGTGATTGCACGCCGAGTCAGACAAGCCCGGACCGAATTACCGGAATCCCCATTATGTTGGCCGCAGCATGTTCTTCATGTCGGACAGTGGCCAACTTTTTAATTCCTTCACAGGGTGTGTTTGCCTTGGTCCTCGGGGAACTGTTGTATTAGCTTGAATATGCATAAGCACTGAGAGGTATCTGCGATCCTCTTTGCTATCGGCCCGACACATGCCATTAGTGTGGTGTGTAATGCGCGCCGGTCCGATTCAGTGTATTGTCCTTGCCTGTGCTCATCTCGGTCATATCATCGTTCATGCGGGCTAAATGTTACGCACGATGCAGTTTCACGTCACGCGTCACGCGCTTGTGCCAAACAACAGTGCAGCGATGGGCCTTTGCGCTGTTGAGCTGGGAAAGCCTCGGGCGCACCGAAGGGCATGACGGTGAGCACGGTGAATGGCTACGCCGTCTCCACTCTTGAGGACGTGCGGAAGCACTTCTTACCCAAAGGAGGGAGTGGGATCATTGCGCTGGTCTTCATTCTGCAAGCCTGCACATGCCCCAGCATTGCGACTGTAGGGGTCATGCACCCGCACGGTAGGTTCGTGCCGCGTTGGCGCGGTTGCGACCCCGGCGACGGCGTTCAAGGTTGAATTCTGCGACGCGGAAGCACCGATGGGCCCGACGGAATTCAACTGTGAACGATCGGGGCCGCGATCGGTCCAAGGTGGAACGATCCACGCGGCGTCGAGAACTTGTACGCGCGCCGACGCCGCGCGAGCCTACCGGACAGGATCTTGCGGACGTCTGGGCTCGGGGTTCCAAAGCTCCGGTCGTGCAGGGCCCGCAGCTGCCGGGGCCCCAGGCCGGACAGAGCCGGAGTGTGGGGCCCGTGCCCCCAGAGAGCAGCGTGGGGACAGAAGTCTGCCCAATCTCAATCTTTTGGTGTTCTGCAGGTTTTTGTGTGAATCGCAGCTTTTCTATAGCCTTTTGGTGGACAAGCTCTTCTAGATTCTAGAGTCTTCTTGGGTTGTCGCCGCTGCCTCGCCACGTCTTGCCCACGCATGAGCGACGAAGCAAACGAGGGTCGTCTGCACCGACGTTGTCTCGTGAGCTGTCCGCGTGAGGTCGCGCTGCAGCGCCCTCGCCTCCCTGCTGGCGCGCCGCAGAGGTCTACAAGGGGATTTTCGACGAAACAAAAAAATAATACCCCAAAAATACCCCAAAAAGGTCAAGAAGTATTCAAACAATAGTCCCCAGACTATTTTTGGATTATGTTTTGCTTATTTTTTGTGTTTCTGTTTTATTTTTCGTCGAAAATCCTCCTGTAGGGGGACATGCCCGACTTAACCCAAGTGGCTGAGGGGATTCGGCAAACCCCGCGAAGTGGGCGCAGGCTCTCCCCCCAATGCCACAGCCAGGTTAGGCCAGATGTAAACCACCTTGGCATCCATCCCAGCTATATGTAGTTTAGGCCAGATGTAAACCATGCAGGTTAGGCCAGATGTAGATTAGGCCAGATGTAAACCATGCAGGTTAGGCCAGATGTAGGCCATCCCATCCATCCATGTAGGTTAGGCCAGATGTAAACCAGCTAGGTAAGCCCTCTATTCCCTTAGCAACCCCCGCGCCCATCCCAGTCCGCTTCCGCCTCAGACCATCCTTTCGTAGTTTCCCCTTCTGCTTTTCCTGGCGCCCACACCCTGCGGCGCATACCGGCGTCGCGCCTTCCCTCGCGTTTCTTTGGGTCTGCGGGGCAAGTGCTTCGAAGCGTTCGTCCTCATGATGCTCGGCATCGCTCGGACGTGTGGCTACTTCTCTCGCCGAGGGCCATCGAGGCGCATTTCAGTTCACCTTGCGATGAAAATTACCCTGGCGACGTACCCAACCCCTGCGCAATACGGGGCAGGAGTAGCTTTGGAGAAATGACGCGAAGGCGGCGTCACATGGACGCAGGTGCTTTTGCGAGCGGCATTCGGAAGGTTCGCAGGTCCCCCATCAAGGGAAAAACGATGAGTAACTAAGTGAACCCCTGAGTCACTAAGGAAGAACCAAGGTCCAAAAGGAGACTGTGGGCAAGGGGCTTGAAACGTCGGCGGGGCAGCAACAACATGACATGGCCCTCCAAGGACGGCGAGGTCCCGCTCAGGTTCGCGTAGCGCCTCATGCCGCAGGACCCACCAGCAGCCTTCGAAAGTGGCGAGCCCACCAGCAGCCCTCGAAAGTGAGGACAGTTTCTCTGATCGCAGCCCCCCAGGGACGGCGAGGTCCACCTCAGGTCTGCGCGGTGCCTCACTCCGCTGGACCCGCCAGCAGCCCACGAAAGTGGGGACGGTTTCGCAGATCGCAGCCCCCCAGGGACGGCGAGGTCTACCTCAGGTCTGCGCGGTGCCTCACTCCGCTGGACCCACCAGCAGCCCTCGAAAGTGGCGACGATTTCGGAGATCGAAGCCCCCCAGGGACGGCGAGGTCCACCTCAGGTCTGCGCGGTGCCTCACCCCGCTTGACCCACCAGCAGCCCTTGAAAGTGGCGACGATTTCGGAGATCGCAGCCCCCCAGGGACGGCGAGGTCTACCTCAGGTCTGCGCGGTGCCTCACTCCGCTGGACCCACCAGCAGCCCTCGAAAGTGGTGACAGTTTCGCAGATCGCAGCCCCCCCAGGGACGGCGAAGAGAGGACAGGAGGAGGCGGGAGGCGGGAGCAGGAGACCCCGCCAGCAGCTTTCGACAGTGGCGAAGGTTTCGCAGATCGCAGCCCCCCAAGGGCGTCGAGGTCCACCTCAGGTCTGCGCGGTGCTTTACTCCGCTGGTCCCACCAGCAGCCCTCGAAAGTGGCGACGGTTTCGCAGATCGCAGCCCCTCCCTCCCAGGGACGGCGAGGTCTACCTCAGGTTTGCGCGGTGCCTCACTCCGCTGGACCCACCAGCAGCCCTCGAAAGTGACGGCATTATCGCAGCTTGCAGCCCCCCAGGGACGGCGAGTTCTACCTCAGGTCTGCGCGGTGCCTCATTCCGCTGGACCCGCCAGCAGCCCTCGAGGGTGGCGACAATTTCGCAACTTGCAGCCCCCCAGGTACGGCGAGGTCTACCTCAGGTCTGCGCGTTGCCCCACTCCGCCGGACCCAGCAGCAGCCCTCGTAGTGAGAACCTATTCGCAGCATCGCAGCCCCCCCCCCCCTGGACGGCGATGTCTACCTCACGTCTGCGCGGTGCCTCACTCCGCTGGACCCACCAGCAGCCCTCGACACTGGGGGTGGTTTCGCAGATCGCAGCCCCCCAGGGACGGCGAGGTTTACCTCCAGTCTGCGCGGTGCCACACTCCGCTGGACCCACCAGCAGCCCTCGAAAGTGGTGACAGTTTCGCAGATCGCAGCCCCCCAGGGACGGCGAGGTTTCTGCGCGGTGCCTCACTCCGCTGGACCCACCAGCAGCCTCGACACTGGGGGTGGTTTCCAGATCGCAGCCCCAAGGGACGGCGAGGTTTACCTCCAGTCTGCGCGGTGCACACTCCGGGACCCAAGCAGCCCTCGAAAGTTGCGACAGTTTCGCAGATCGCAGCCCACCAGGGACGGCGAGGTCCACCTCAGGTCTGCGCGGTGCTCACTCCGTGGACACCAGCAGCCCTCGAAAGTGGCGACGGTTTCGCAGATCGCAGCCCCCCAGGGACGGCGAGGTCTACCTCAGGTCTGCGCGGTGCCCCACTCCGCTGGACCCACCTGCAGCCTTCGACAGTGGCAACGGTTTCGCAGATCGCAGCCCCCAGGGACGGTGAGGTTCTACCTCAAGTCTGAGGCGGTGCCTCATTCCGCTGGACCCACCAGCAGCCTTCTAAAGTGATGACAGTTTCGCTGATCGCAGCCCCCAGGGACGGCCAGGTCTACCTCAGGTCTGCGCGGTGCCTCACTCCGCTGGACACCAGCAGCCCTCGAAAGTGGCGACAGTTTCGCAGATCGCAGCCCCCCCAGGGACGGCTAAGTCTACCTCAAGCCTGTGTGGTGCTTCACTCCGCTGGACCCCCACCAGCAGCTTTCGACAGTGGCGAAGGTTTCGCAGATCGCAGCCCCCCAAGGGCGTCGAGGTCCACCTCAGGTCTGCGCGGTGCTTTACTCCGCTGGTCCCACCAGCAGCCCTCGAAAGTGGCGACGGTTTCGCAGATCGCAGCCCCTCCCTCCCAGGGACGGCGAGGTCTACCTCAGGTTTGCGCGGTGCCTCACTCCGCTGGACCCACCAGCAGCCCTCGAAAGTGACGGCATTATCGCAGCTTGCAGCCCCCCAGGGACGGCGAGTTCTACCTCAGGTCTGCGCGGTGCCTCATTCCGCTGGACCCGCCAGCAGCCCTCGAGGGTGGCGACAATTTCGCAACTTGCAGCCCCCCAGGTACGGCGAGGTCTACCTCAGGTCTGCGCGTTGCCCCACTCCGCCGGACCCAGCAGCAGCCCTCGGAAGTGACGACATATTCGCAGATCGCAGCCCCCCCCCCAGGGACGGCGATGTCTACCTCAGGTCTGCGCGGTGCCTCACTCCGCTGGACCCACCAGCAGCCCTCGAAAGTGGCGACGATTTCGGAGATCGCAGCCCCCCAGGGACGGCGAGGTCTACCTCAGGTCTGCGCGGTGCCTCACTCCGCTGGACCCACCAGCAGCCCTCGAAAGTGGTGACAGTTTCGCAGATCGCAGCCCCCCAGGAGGAGGCGGGAGGCGGGAGCAGGAGAAAAAGGATGCGACCGCAGTGCTCTATTCAAAACGGATACCCAAACAAGGAGGGTTTGGAAAAGCACGCACGAAAACGGCACATGCATGTGGAAAGGACATCCGATCGGTGGCGAGGATGGGGCGGGCAATCAGCTCGTCACTGCTTGGCTTTCTCGGATCCCGTTCCCTGGAAGTTTGTGTTGCCTTCTCCAGAGTCTAACCTTCCCCGTGGTCCCTTCTCCAAATGTCTGCCCATCGATCCTTGTAGCCATAGGTTTCCGTGTCGACCATCGGCCAATTGGAATCCTTTGTTTGAACATGTTTGGCAGAGAGAGAGAGAGGTATAGAGAAAGAGAGGGAGAGAGAACGAGAGACAACGAAGGAGGAGGAGAGAGATAGGGAGAGAGAGAGAGAGAGGGCGATACATTGATGGGTGCTGGGCGCAGATGCGACGAAGGGATGTCGCTCCTGCATCCTGGCCTACTGCCTCTTCTTCCCTCTCCTGCCGTCTCTTTCCTAAGTGAAAGCCCTCATCCTCTTCGTTCTCCCTCTTCTCTGCCCTTCCCTCCCTTGCTTGCAGCTGTAGGATTATGCCTCTAGGTGCCTCTGGCATCCCGCCGCATCTGCGTTCAAAAAGCTTGATGTGACTGTGTGTCTATGTGTGGGTGGGGAGGGAGATGTGTGTGAGTGGGAGTGGGAGTGGGAGTGGGTGTGGGTGTGGGTGTGGGTGTGGGTGCGGGTGCGGGAGCTGGTGCCGGTGCCGGTGCGGGTGCGGGTGCGGGTGCGGGTGCGGGTGCGCGTGCGCGTGCGCGTGCGCGTG